AATTATCTGGTTGTACAGCCATATAGTGTATTATCTGGTTGTACAGCCATGAAGTGTATTATCTAGCTGTACAGTCATATAGTGTATTATCTAGCTGTAAAGCCATATAGTGTATTATCTAGCTGTACAGCCATATAGGTAATTATCCGGTTGTACAGCCATATAGTGTATTATCTGGTTGTACAGCCATATAGTGTATTATCTGGTTGTACAGCCATATAGTGTATTATCTGGTTGTACAGCCATATAGTGTATTATCTGGTTGTACCGCCATATAGTGTATTATCTGGTTGTACCGCCATATAGTTAATTATCTAGCTGTACAGTCATATAGTTCATTATCTAGCTGTACAGCCATATAGTGTATTATCTAGCTGTACAGCCATATAGTTTATTATCTAGCTGTACAGCCATATAGTGTATTATCTAGCTGTACAGCCATATAGTATATTATCTGGTTGTTGAGCCACATGCTTCACTTTCCGATCCTAGACATACATTGTATAGCAAACTCTCTATGACTAGACATACATTATAAAGCAAACTCTCTATGACTAGACATACATTGTAAAGCAAACTCTCAATGACAAGACATACATTGTATAGCAAACTCTCTATGACAAGACATATAGTGTATTATCTAGCTGTACAGTCATATAGTGTATTATCTAGCTGTACAGCCATATAGGATATTATCTGGTTGTTGAGCCACATGCTTCACTTTCCTATCCTAGACATACATTGTATAGCAAACTCTCTATGACAAGACATACATTGGATAGCAGTCTCTCTATGACAAGACATACATTGTATAGCAGTCACTCTATGACAAGACATACATTGTATAGCAGACTCTCTATGACTAGACATACATTGTATAGCAAACCCTCTATGACTAGACATACATTGTAAAGCAAACTCTCAATGTCAAGACATACATTGTATAGCAAACTCTCTATGACAAGACATACATTGGATAGCAGTCTCTCTATGACAAGACATACATTGTATAGCAGACTCTCTATGACTAGACATACATTGTATAGCAAACATCTGGTTGTACAGCCATATAGTGTATTATCTGGTTGTACAGCCATATAGTGTATTATCTGGTTGTATAGCCATATAGTGTATTATCTGGTTGTATAGCCATATAGTGTATTATCTGGTTGTACCGCCATATAGTTAATTATCTAGCTGTACAGTCATATAGTTCATTATCTAGCTGTACAGCCATATAGTGTATTATCTAGCTGTACAGCCATATAGGATATTATCTGGTTGTTGAGCCACATGCTTAACTTTCCGATCCTAGACATACATTGTATAGCAAACTCTCTACAGCCATTTAGTTTATTATCTAGCTGTACAGCCATATAGTATATTATCTGGTTGTTGAGCCACATGCCTCACTTTCCGATCCTAGACATACATTGTATAGCAATCTCTCTATGACTAGACATACATTATAAAGCAAACTCTCTTTGACTATACATACATTGTAAAGCAAACTCTCAATGTCAAGACATACATTGTATAGCAAACTCTCTATGACTATACATACATTGTATAGCAAACTCTCTATAACTAGACATACATTGTAAAGAAAACTCTCTATGACTAGACATACATTGTAAAGCAAACTCTCTATAACTAGACATACATTGTAAAGAAAACTCTCTATGACTAGACATACATTGTATAGCAAACATCTGGTTGTACAGCCATATAGTGTATTATCTAGCTGTACAGCCATATAGTATATTATCTGGTTGTTGAGCCACATGCTTCACTTTCCTATCCTAGACATACATTGTATAGCAAACTCTCTATGACTATACATACATTGTATAGCAAACTCTCTATGACAAGACATACATTGTATAGCAGTCTCTCTATGACAAGACATACATTGTATAGCAAACTCTCTATAACAAGACATACATTGTATAGCAAACTCTCTATGACTAGACATACATTGTATAGCAATCTCTCTATGACAAGACATACATTGTATAGCAGTCACTCTATGACAAGACATACATTGTATAGCAAACTCTCTATAACTAGACATACATTGTATAGCAAACGCTCTATGACTAGACATACATTGTATAGCAAACTCTCTATGACTAGACACACATTGTAAAGCAAACTCTCTATGACAAGACACACATTCAGTTATCATTTTACTTTTTTCAGATGCTAAGTTTTCGCAGCTCGTTCGGAAACCTTGACACATGTAATGTTCGTTGTGATTGGGGGAAGTGTGAAGTGTCTTTAAATTTGTATTTACTGACCATAACGATATTTTCATCAGAACGTCAAAATCTACCCGGACAAAGTATAACGTACCAAGTAACATCATATAACCGTAAGTGTATGTATGACAACAGGTATAAATTATCCTTACATTTAAATGTTTGCTTTACACATATGAAAATACATAACTATTATTTCACGAAATAGTGCCATTATTATATCATGTTATACATCATTCGATATGTTAATGGAGTAAAGAAAAATCAACACAGTAATATATATATTCATTTGAAATGAACTTCCGAAAAAAGTTTTTTCCGAAAGTCACACGTTAAAAAAAAGGTCTTCATGCTTTAAGCACAGATTTTTTACAATATTTCTTCTGCAACAAAATATACCTAAAATATAAACAACTTTGCTTAAGGCACTTTTTTTTTTTATCAAAATGTGTTGCATATCCACGGAAGGAAAATGGGGCTTTCTTCTGATAAACATATTTCAGCGGAAGTAGGGAAAAGGTTACAGTTATTTAATTTCAATGATGAATATTTCAGGTCGATTTTTACAAGATGCCAAAGATAGTCAATGGAAACCAATTATCATGACTGCAGTTCTCCGAAATGATAGAGGTATACATGTGGTGTTCGAACCTCTGCCGTCTCGGTTTGTAAACGAAAATACATTTTATGTAATCACTCTCCAAGATTGGGAAACATGGGAGCTAAAACGGAACACAACAATAAGGCATAACAAGGTAGTGTTGCATTGTATATTCAATCTTATTATATAATACCATGCATTATAATAAGTACTCTCGCAAACTATTTACACAATAAAGTGAAACCCTCATGATTACTACACGTTATTATTTTGTTCATTCTTATACCAATTTGTATTCATAAGCAATTGTCTAATTTCGAAAGGTACTGTCTTTATACTATTGATATGCGTATAGTTAACTTTACTGCAATTACAGTTATAAACTAGGTTGTCATTGTCCTTTATGTTTCAGGCAGACGCCTACTACGGGTGTATATTTGATTTCAATGAATCTAGCGGCATTTATGAAGTTATGGTAAGGAACTTTTGAATACATTTATGCATGAATAGAGACATTTCGAACACTATTTACATTGAAGTTATATCAAGATATATATCAAACCTGGTTTTGCATTCTCTATAACTTGTTTCGAAACCAAGTGTTCATATAAAAAGTTTAACGAGTTGTTTAGATAATTCTGTATAGGAAGGTAAATAATGTGTAAGTCATTATTAAAATATATATTTACAGATACAATATAAAAACTGCTACCGCTGTCCATTTGAAACTTGGGTAAAATCTGCAGACTTTACTTTACCAGGTAATGTATCTATAGTTAGTCACTATTTCTTTGTGAAACTAAATAACCGCATTCTTAATTACGTCTTAACAATCTGGGTATATATAATGTTTATTCCTGTATTCGTTGTCACTGATAATATGATTTTACTTCACCCAAAACATGCAAGATCTTCAAATATCAAAGATGCTGTTAAACATTTAAATACCAAAGTTTATCGTGAACTAAAAATGAATTATTTAAATGTTAAATTTATAATTGGCTAATAATACAACTAGGAGGTACAGCTTATGAAATATTTATTTAATGCAGACAAATAACTGATGATATTATTGTCATTTTAAAAACGCTTCTATTTCCACCAATATTATTTATGATCCCCAAATCATAAAGGATTTATCAATATACAATTATTTTAAACGTTACTTAAACGTTAAGCTTATCTTTTAATCGAATTAGAAAACTAGTGTTGAACAGTTTAAAAAACAAAAACAAAAACGAAATATAAAAGAAAAAATGTTTTTTATTAAAGTAAATATGTTTTTCTTTCTCTTGTATAGAGTATCCCGACGAATATAAAGCAGTACGCCCGAAGATCTCTATTCAGCCAAAGCGTAGATACACAGAGATTCAAATTCTTGTAACGATTTTTACAGTTTTGCTTCTCGCTATCATCGTATTCTTTTGTCGTCGAAAAATAAAAGGTACATTATATCTCAATCTAAAATTGACTATATCTTCGATACATTTGCAATTAAGAGTATACAATGAAAGAAATCTTACCAATGAAATAAAGTCCTGCTGATTATTTTTAAATATATTTGAAAAATCAATTTTAGATGTAAAATAAGTTTGTTGTATTTATTAATCTATATTACAGACAAGAAATCAAACCATTCGGCATCGTCATTGTGTTAATTGCCTTTCACTTGTCCAATTAGAAACGATTTTGATGCGTAATACACAAGTGTAAGGCTTGTCTTATACAGAGAACATGAACAAAGAAAGGTTTCATTATTCATGAAATGTCTACTATTCAATAAAAATACAGAAACGTATTTATTCGTGTTTTGTTTTAATGTTAATCTACTTTCGAATTATTTTTCCTTCATTTCAGCGAGACTGCAAAGGGACACAAGACCGTCAGTGGAAGCATTATTTCAAAACAACAACAACAACAACAACAACAACGCCAATGAAAGAACCGTTCTGCCGTCTGGTAATCAAAACGCACCGTTAAATCAGCGGCGCGAATCAAAAGACTCAATACGTACACGACTTGAAAAATTAAACTATCCAAATGGATATATGGATGACGAGGTATTAAATTTATGTGTATCATAGCAATATCATTGGAGCAATTAATTGGAAAAATAAATACAGCTGAAAAGTTTCTGTAACAAATATGGAAGTCTCGATATATTTAACAACAGGTTGCATCTGTCAGAAAAGTCCAACAAGTTGTTTCAAAATGTGTTCTAACATCAAAAGCAAATGTTGAACCTATGACCCTTTAGTTTCTGCCATATGAGCTATAAAATTTAGCCCCGCTTTACACTGCCAGCTGCTATGGTTAAATTGAGTTGTTAAAACTGTATATGGTTTTTATTGTACACTTATAGATACGATGTCAAAGTTTCATACCGACACTCTCCTTTCTCTGTATACATGATGATTCATTGTAAATATAAAAGATACATGTGTATATAATATAAATCTGGAGTCGAACTTTAAATATCCCCATACTACTGCTCAGAAGAACGAAACTTTGAATTGGATATTGGAAACATTTTTTTCTGGCATGAAAATAGATTTATCAATTATCATCTCATTAAAGAAATCGATATTTTGCCGAACAATTTCATGGCAAAAATATAGATTAAATAAAATAATCAGCAATACTTTTCTTGGAGTGAAAGTTTAATTGGGCCATAACTTGGTTTAAATCATTGACCTCCGATCACAATACGATCTGAATAAGTAACTGAGCAACATCATTAATGGTTTGATGGTGGCCGAAAAGCATTAGAGACATGATCAGAACGAAATCAAGGACATATTTCTATATTTATATAGAACTGTAGTGGAATTCCTCCCTAGTGTTCTATTGCAGAGGGAGAGATCATTCCTAATACCTATTATTCACAACAAACCTGGCTTGAAACCGACTTTAAGGAGCAGTCTGCAGTCGTAGAATTCACGTTTTCTTTTACAATATTTCCACAAAAGCCATTGCACTGGTTACCTGTACGATACATGTCGCAGTACAAAATTTTGGTGTACACATGCAAGGCACTGAATGGAACAGATTCTCAGTACCTACAGGAGCTTGTTACCCTGTATCACCCGTCAATAGTGGAATAGCTTACCATCTGCTATTAGAAAGTCAAATACGCTGGCCAAATTCAAGAAGGACATCAAAACTCACCTCTTCACATCTGCAGTTTAGGCTCTTTGCACATACCACCCTTTATTTATTCATGTGCACAATGAGATAATTATCTTTTGCTTAAGGTATAATGGTGATTGTAAGCCATTTTTGTTTCACAATTATGACTAATACTATTATCCATATGTTGTAAAGCGCTTTAGAGTAATTTTATAAATTATGTAGGGCGCTATATAAATGGTGTATATTATTATCATTATAATATGAATAAAGATGGGGATCCAAGGTTCTGTTGAAGTTCTTAGTATGTAGGATTGCCCAAATCGTCATGATGTAGGTAATGTTTCTAGAAGCTACTTTTCTCATTATGCACATTTACAGCGTTTGTATAAATACTTTATTTACCAGCTAGATCAGGCAAAGCAGACTAAATTTTGTTCGAATGGTATAGGATGCTTAAAAGTTTATAACAAATCAGGAACGATATCCATCCTTACTTTTGTTCTGCTTGATAATATAATCGTCGAAAACATTAATAAATATTTAGAACTTGAACTTGCAACAATACTTCTTAATTATTTTGGCCTTTAGCAAGCAAACCACGAAGCGTGTTTTTTATCAACTTGTTTCAGGTCATTCATAATGACACGGTCGATAAAACATTCAAAAGAAATGGCTCAAAAGCAAGTATGGGGTGTAGTTTATATGTCATCGTCAAGCACTAAGTAGTGAGATATTTTGCTTCAACAGGAAACGTTTACCATTCGGAACCACTTCCGACCTTTTATTTTGGGTCGAAAAAGCTCCTGTTACCTTATTGAATCGATTTGGAGTTGTGATTTTGTTGTTATATGTTTGCGGTGTGGTATATTTTTGTATAAGGAGAAAGAGAAATGACACCGCCAGACCGACCGAGATTCGAACCTAGGACCTTCCAAACTCTAGACGGATGCTCTGCTCAACAATTTAAGCTGTCTGGTCGTCGACGATTGACCCAGTCCAGTTACGATACATTCTTCGCTCCTTTTTCTAAGTCTTCGACCCCGAAGACAGCACTCTATACAACACTTGCTCGGGTATCCCCTTGCTAACAATTTACCCACTGCTTGAAACAATGGTTGGCCTGCTCACCAATTGTATAACAAGAGAAAGAGATATGTAATGGCCAAACCGGGAATTGAACCCGGGGCCTTCCAAACGCTAGACGAACTCTGCAAATTGAGCTACCTGATCGCCGACGATCGACCTAGTCCACTTCCGCTATATTTTTGTTTATTTTTCACTTCTGTGATAGGTTCATTGTCATTTTTATATGATGGTGTAATATTTTATGTGTGTTTCATACTGCAACTATTAATGTGTATTGCTAGATGGTATTTGTGTTTTTGTAAAAAGGTAGTATGAACTGATTGTTTTCATAGCAAATGTGAAAACTTAAGATCAGGAAATTTGATAATGAATAAATATATTTCATATGACATGACGGAGTTAGACTATGTTTTTTTTATCTTATAAGAATGCAAAAGGTGACCAAGCTTGCATGTCATTTACACAAGAGAAAAGTTGATACTGAGGTGTAGAATTGGTTCAATGCATGACTGGTTCCATAGTGTCTCTATACGAAAACAAATATTATACCATGCTCAGTGAGATTTTATTTTACAAACTACTTAATAAAAATCTGAAACGATTCAGAGCTTTTAAACAATATCAGGTATTTTTAATTCTAAAACATTAATTTATATATTTCCTGTTTCATTAAAGAGAAAAGTTCACACAGTTTTGCGTTGTAGTGAACGGCAGTTAAGCTGTCTGAACGTACCTTTTTGTTGAAATGGATATGGACACCGAACATGACGTCAAAGGTGATGCATTGTTATAAACAAAATTTGCAAAATCCTTTTCCAAACTGTTAAGCATGAACGATTCTGTTACCGACGTCGACTGTGTACATTCCATAATATCTAACTTTCGATCAGATTTTTACCTATCCCACCAAAACAAAACTACCTGTCTGTCTATACTATCGTGTTTTTATGCATAGCTAACTTCTGATTGATGTAACATAATTCAAACACGAACTCCATGTAGTGCTAAAATGAAAATAAACACCCAACTGGTTGTTACTAAGAACAAATGAACAGAAGTGTGTCAATGACTATGTAAGCTAGACTTTCCGTGACTGCACTCCCTAATATCATCTTACTACTGCGTCCCCATTATTTAACAATAAATACCCGAGTACGAGGCACTCAGTTAAAGTAGGTCGGTCTTTCTATCCTTATTCCTTCCATAAAGAACACGTAATATCTGAAGGTAAAAAGGAAAAATGGACATGAAATATACAATATATCAGATAATCGTTATATTTACCAATATACATATGGTAACATCTGGATGTCAAGGAGATTTCATCGAAAGAAATAGGCCATGTCGGCCAAAGGAATGTCAGGTAAGTTAAAGTGTCGTTTTTCAAAAATGATTGTTTGTGTAAAACTTCGTCTATGCTAAACACTAAGTGTATATATTATATTAACACTAAGTTTATAACTGTATTTATAAACACTTAGTTTGTATACTGTATATAAAAACGCTAAGTTTATATACTGTATATATGTACACGAGTTCTTATATAACCTTAATCTGCAATGAATACAGGTAGAGCGTGTGGTAGAAGTTCATTGATGCAGTTAATATTGAGCTTGTAGTGTGATTAATTTATCTTAGAAGTGTTATTTTTTGATGTTCTAAAAAGATAGTTAACAAACGAATCCTCTGTTCGATTTTGTTATTCACTGATTAATCTTATTTGATCGAAGGGGTTGCATTATAACCGAAATTACAGTATTATTCTGCCCATTTCTTAACATTTAGTACATGTTTCTATTTCAAAGAGACATACACATTCTGAAAAAATGCCCAAATGTAGGTCAAACAATAAACAATAAAAATAAAACATCTTCTACTTCGTCGAAATGTTAACTTTTTAATAGAATAGAATAACGTTAACCACAGGTTGTTCCCTCATCAAGCTAAGGTGTAAACTACATCGTTTATATCACAACAATAGGTCAACTTTATTTGACCTTTAGTGGGTGCATTCGCCTGTGTCATACACACAAGCAAATAATCATTGTCTACCATTTTAACATGCCATCAAAGCATGATCCTGTACGATACAACACTGGTGACGGATTAGAAGTCTTACCAGCGACATCTTGACCTAATTTCCAGCTATAGTTTTTCAGTGTCTGCCACATGTTTCCGCTGTCTTTGATTACTAGTGTTATCATACACTCCTGGATTTACAGATATTATTGATGACCCACACACATCTCTAAGGATTTGGCTGTAGACATCAATAAAAATGCATTTTGGGATAAAATTAAGTTCCAATGACCTTTGACCCGGTCGTTTAATTCCTAGTCAGCTTAACGTCAACATAACTGGAAAACCTCCAATAAGTGTATGCTAAAACATATTAAAATGCTTAGCTGAAAAGGGGCTACGAGGTTGTTTAAGCGTCTGACCGTCTACGACTACTAACAATGTTCAATGTTCTTATTCCTAATACAAACACAAACTAATGTGGAGTGAAGCATAACGGAGTGTTTACATGCTTAACTTACACAATATCATAATGAACCCTTCAATATATTTTTTTTTATTTTCTTGAATGCACAATTCGATCGTGGGTTGAAGGCTATCGTGGGGCAGTCGCTAAGTACTGTCCCCATGTCGTAGTTCTTTTCAAAGGTACTCCATTTTCTCTCCACCTCAACAAATCTAAGCTTAACTGTTTCTATAGTCTCCAAATGAGCACCTACAAACTTGAAATACAAATATATCTTTATAACTTTGAGAGGATTCCCAAATATCCCATTATGAACAATTGCCTTCACGACTTGTTGAACTGATCACTGTTTGTGCAACTGGGCTCTGATTTCACTTTGAATTTTTCGGTCTGTGTTCATGGCGACTTTCGTGTTCTTTTAGAGATATTGTTGCTTCCTGTTGCCCTGTTTTTGAGGTATCTTCTTGCTTTCTGTTGTCATAATTTATTTTCTGATTACTCCAAGATTTGTAATTGCGTGGTGATGGTCGGTTTCTCCCCTGCTTTTTGCTACTGTCAATTGTTATGGATTTTATACCCATGTGTTGACGCATATAAGGTGTTGTCTGTTTTTTTGTCGTTGACGTGTTCATTATATGCTTTGTTAGTATATCCTTTTATGTACAAATTGTCCTTCTGTCCCTTTTAACTTTTCTATAACTGCATACATTAAATTATGCACGTGACCAACTTTATCATTGATCACTTAAATCATGTTCAAAATGTAACCCTAATGTGAACGAAAGCCAATGTGTAACAACTCTTTTACTAAACAATAGTTTCTAATCAGTATGCACATACCTACTTAAGATGTTCAGCTATCCGTTGTGTATTCTTTTCTTGTAGACTCAAGCTTCCTTCAGGCCACCACAGAATTGCATTGATCGTAATAAGCGAGGTATGTTGGACATAAGTGAATAATCTTCTTGTATGCCAGTAGATATTATGGCTTGGGAACAGTCTAACCTTTTTGAATGTGTTTATGAAAATGTTTTCATATTGAAACTCAGATAATGTGCCTCAACCAAATTACTTGCTCTTTTGATTAATAAATAAAATTACGGTTTCCTAATGGTTTTGAAGACTATTGTTAGAGATTTTATCTAAATAATGTATGAAGCGTTTACACTTGACTTGTATTTACCGTTTTACATGATTTAAGCGACTTGCAAGAAAGTTGTTTAGAGCACAGAATCCAAGTTAAGAATGAGATGGTTTCTTAAATACGACTCCTGGTTTTCAGTTGTATTTGAAAAGTTCCGATGTTTTTCTTTTGTTTTTCGTTGTTGACAATAGAGTAGATTATTTTCTTCTATTTAATTTCTCAACGAGATGAGGGTTTTTACGTCCTTGTTCATATTATCGATATTAATTTTCTAAAATTGCGATGCAACGCGGCCAGGATGTAGTAAGCTATAGCTTTCTTTGTGTATGTGTGTGTGTGTGAAACATTGAAGCTGTTCCCAATTTTCTTGTTCGGTGTATAAAATTCACCATATTTTGAGTGAGTAAGCGATAAAATATTTAAAGTATGTTGCTGTTTAGTATGAACTGTGCAATTTCAAACAGTCCATACTAAACAGCAACGTACTTGAAATACTTTATCGCTTACTTACTCACTCCCTCACTCACTCACTCACTCACTCAACTCACTCACTCACTCACTCACTCACTCACTCAAAAAAGAGTACATGTCATGAATGTATTTAGATACAAAGCTTTCGATATGCAAACGAATTTTAGACCCTGAACTAAGATAACAACTTTATTTTATATATTTGTTCTTTCAACTTTCGAGAATAGTTTTGCTATCCTTTAAAAACAATATCGGTTAATTGTCATTATCCGTTCAGATCAGTTTTGTTAAATTAACATTTCAGAATGGAATGAATGTCGACTGAAGCTAAAACCACGGTTAACCAGCAAGAGAGGAGTAAGTGAATCAGCTAGTGGGCATACCTCTATGCTATCAATGCTGTCCACAGGCCTAGTGAGAGCTGAAGCTGAAAACTCTTCTGAACCTGTTCTCAATGTGTCAATTTCGTATAACAAGACGAATCGAGGTATGCAATAGAAAACAATATACATACATTTGTATTCGTTTAATCATATTTTAATATTTGAAACAAGCACAAAAAACGCTTAAAATACCACCACCGCTAAACTATGTTATTAACACTAATTCTTGACTTCAATAGTTGAAAAAACAGTCTTTGTTGGTTGGTTGCTATTTAAGAATATGTGTATATTCATTACCCGAACACCTTAATACATTTTAGATTTAAGATTTTGCGTTTTTTCTAAACCAGGGATATGTTTAAAGCTAAGTTTGAACAAAAACAGGAATTGAAAACTTATTTCTCGACTCGGCTAGCAAATAAGTTTTCAATAACTGTTTCTGTTCAAAACAAACTTGGCTTTTATTATGTATAACATACTGATGAATCTTATTCCGAACAGGGATGTTTTTCGCGCGCAATTCAGTGCCAAACATTTTATATTTACATATATGTTCAAATACAAACTAATCATATTCCTGCTTAAAACTAAAACGTAACTGTATTTATATTTAGATGTGGATTTGGTAGTAAATATGACCAGTCTTAATGATAGGCCGGGAGATCCCTATTATTATTGGCTACCCGATCAGAGAACAGTGCACCTCCCAACAGAGAAACACAATCAGGTAGGATATACATGAATACATTGGCCCGAACATATATTATCATTACGCACTTAGCAAACAATTCCATGGATGCACAAAATGTATATATATCTACATGTAATTCAAAAATGTGCTTAAAATGTAACTTACCAGGAATTAACAAAACTGTGCAACATGTTCATACATGTTTCAGAGTCCTTAAACATATTCAAAATGTGTGTATGTATATATATTTATCAAACAGACTCCGAAACAAAAACATGAAGGCACTTTTAATATCACAGAAGGCCAAAAACATATATGGAAATTGCTTAGGAGCCCTTTCAAAAAATCGAAATCTTCATAGATGTTAGGTACACAGTGCAGTGTACCCTATCATTAAATCTTTACACTGTATTAAAAGTTTCCTGGTATGACATATGTTTCTATGGTTTTCTTCCCTGTATTGTTTACACCTTGTCACACATTGTGACTATAATGACGACATGGGACAAAAATAAAACACTGGGAAGCATTAGTAACATCACAAGGAGATACTGTTCAAAATTGTTAAGTGATCATCTCGGATTTGAAAACAGAAATATTTTAATTTCCAACTATATTCAAAAAAGCACAGAAACGCAACCTAAGCCTCTCTGGGCAGGTAACGACAATACTGTTAGGGCCGACCGCGTGCCAGATCGTACCTGTCTCACTATTACCGTCCATAAACCTATTTACTGAAACTGGTGCATTTCATGTCTCAGGTTCCGAAAATTGACACCGATTACTTTAGGCTGTTTGTTTTCCTTCCTTGTATTTACATATGGGAGCTGGCAAGCTGCTGTAAAACGTGTGACCTCAGAATGAACCAGCGTGACGGAGCTGTTGTCGATTTCAAAGTAAAACACATAGACATGCTAGCGACAACTTGTTTTTAATTTTTAAGTATGAAAATGCATCAGAGCCTGATGAAAGTATATCTTCCAAACTGTTGAAGACATTAATTCCTTGTGCTGAATGCTAATCACTTTAAGTAAATGTTTAAGACGATAGAGGAGAAGACCTATTTACGGGAATGTCTATACTCCTTTATAAAAGTCCCCCATCCCCTGTATCTTTTAGGAGAGATGCTGGGTTGGAGTGTCCCCGATTCATCCATCTGACATAATATAACTTCACGCAGGAGGCCTCTGTCACCTCATTCACACTACACTTTCATTTCTCCCATGCTACCAGTAATTCGATCTTTCATTCACATTTATTTCAGTAATACTAATATTTATTTTAATCAAAATGATATATTCCATCACACAAACAATTCCTTATATTCATGTTCAAATGTATAAAGTACATATTTATTTATATATAAATTAACTTGCCGAAAATCCTGTTTTTTTATTTGGGATTGCTTATTAAAGAACATTACACGACACCGGCTGCATTATAATATTTAATCTGTTTCTAACATGTATGTACATGTAATGAAAACGTTACACAAACGTTTAAAACATAATGTTACAGCAGCAAAATATATAAAACAACTACGTGTACATCCTGATGCTTATTAAATATTTCCTGTATATATTAATATTATACAAAAATATATATTGCAGACAGTCAAGATTATGCTATCGTACAGAGTATTTGATACGTGTAGCTCAAAATGTACCCATCATGGCTGTTACCTATACGTCCTTCACCTCATCCCAATGTCACGGGAACACCTTGTGCTGACATATTACATCACAGTTTTTAACAGTAAGTGTGTATCATCCCTCTGTCACGGGAACACCTGGCGCTGACATATCACATCACAGTTTTAACAGTAAGTGTGTATCATCCCACTGTCAGGGGAACACCTGGCGCTGACGTATCACATCAAAGTTTTAACAGTAAGTGTGTATCATCACACTGTCACGGGAACACCTGGCGCTGACGTATCACATCACAGTTTTTAAAAGTAAGTGTGTATCATCCCACTGTCACGGGAACACCTGGCGCTGACGTATCACATCACAGTTTTTAACAGTAAGTGTATATCATCCCGCTGTCACGGGAACACCTGGCGCTGACGTATCACATCACAGTTTTTAACAGTAGCTGTGTATCATCCCACTGTCACGGAAACACCTGGCGCTGACGTATCACATCACAGTTTTTAACAGTAAGTGTATATCATCCCCCTGTCACGGGAACACCTGGCGCTGACATCTCACATCACAGTTTTTAACAGTAAGTGTATATCATCCCGCTGTCACGGGAACACCTGGCGCTGACGTATCACATCAAAGTTTTTAACAGCAAGTGTATATCATCCCGCTGTCACGGGAACACCCTGTGCCGACATATCACATCACAGTTTTTAACAGTAAGTGAGTATCATCCCCCTGTCACGGGAACACCTGGCGCTGACGTATCACATCACAGTTTTTAACAGTAAGTGTATATCATCCCCCTGTCACGGGAACACATGGCGCTGACGTATCACATCACAGTTTTTAACAGTAAGTGTGTATCATCCCAATGTCACGGGAACAGCTAGCGCTGACGTATCACATCACAGTTTTTAACAATAAGTGTATATCACCCCCCTGTCACGGGAACACCTGGCGCTGACGTATCACATCACAGTTTTTAACAGTAAGTGTGTATCATCCCAATGTCACGGGAACACCCTGTGCCGACATATCGCATCACAGTTCTTAACAGTAAGTGTATATCATCCCCCTGTCACGGGAACACATGGCGCTGACGTATCACATCACAGTTTTTAACAATAAGTGTATATCATCCCCCTGTCACGGGAACACCTTGCGCTGACGTATCACATCACAGTTTTTAACAATAAGTGTGTATCATCCAACTGTCACGGGAACACCTGGCGCTGACGTATCACATCACAGTTTTTAACAGTAAGTGTATATCATCCCCCTGTCACGGGAACACATGGCGCTGACGTATCACATCACAGTTTTTAACAGTAGGTGTGTATCATCCCAATGTCACGGGAACACCCTGTGCCGACATATCACATCACAGTTTTTAACAATAAGTGTATATCATCCCCCTGTCACGGGAACACCTGGCACTGACGTATCACATCACAGTTTTTAACAATTAGTGTGTATCATCCAACTGTCACGGGAACACCTGGCGCTGACGTATCACATCACAGTTTTTAACAGTAGGTGTGTCTCATCCCAATGTCACGGGAACACCCTGTGCCGACATATCACATCACAGTTTTTAACAATAAGTGTATATCATCCCCCTGTCACGGGAACACCTGGCACGGACGTATCACATCACAGTTTTTAACAATAAGTGTATATCATCCCCCTTTCACGGGAACACCTGGCACTGACGTATCCCATCACAGTTTTTAACAATTAGTGTGTATCATCCAACTGTCACGGGATCACCTGGCGCTGACGTATCACATCACAGTTTTTAACAGTAAGTGTGTTTATCTTAATGTTATATTTCCCTATATACGGGAGAATGTGCTGTGTGCTGGATGCCTTTCCCCAGTGTAATATGGTCTCCTAGGATGCCGACATTACGATAGTTTGTGTATTTGGAATCATGCTACGTACTTAGTGTCAAGCTTTGTGACCTAGCTATTTCTTGTTATTTCCAATTATTTACTGTGTCATTAATGTTTCTTGATAAAGTCTTTTATTTGTAAGTACATTTTTGTGTGGAATACTCTACCCGACGGCGTAGAAATAAGACTTTGGCTGAGGTTTTGACATCAAAGTTGCGCTCGAAGTTAGAATTCCTGTATACTTAGTGCCTTCATAATGATGTCTCGTTGTCACCTACCTTTTTAACGAATATTGGTAAAACAGGATATTCATCAATTGCAAATACAACACCAAATATAGCAAAATATGTTCAATAAGTTCAATAAGTTCAGGGCAAGTTTGTACGAGGTTCTGGAGGGGGACATGTAGCACTTGAAATAACATTGGGGTGTAATAAGATATAAATGCTGATGAAAAAGAATATGAATAAAAAGCTTTCTGGTGGCAATCATAGTTTTATTTTTTGCATATACATACCTTAGGGTTATGCTGTCATGATCTTTCACGAAACTAGTCAGCTTAGAGACCATTCCGAGATATGTGGGGTTAAGTGGGGGACCGAAATCACAGATGACATCTTAGCAAAACAGCATGCTATTTTTTTTTAAACATTTTCCTTAATTTTGATGTATTGTCTACCACTTAAGCACAAATAATAACTAGAGGCCTCGTAGGTCTTTGGGCATATTACTGGTGTGCTTTATACTGCTTAGTTCAGTTGTCGTGATCCAATTCCGTCTAGGCAGGTACCGAGAACAGGAGGCCGTATGACATTCCTGTTACATAACTGAAGAATGACATAATAAAGTTTTCTTCATTCATTTAAATGTTAAATGGATATCTAGATAAAACCATGATAATTTATTTAATTTACGTATTTTACTAAGATTTGCAATCGTCTAGCATTAACAATTCATGTACTCTAGTCTAGGTGCTTACATTTCCTTTAATATCTAAGTTTATAACATCTTTGTTCCCCGCAATTGTTATGAGTTACCAAGCAACCATCTCCGCTAGCAAAGGTAATTACTTAAATTTTACATTGAACTCTTTTAAAAATACACGTTTACATGTAGTTCTCCTGTCAGAGCCATTACGCTATAGATAGAGTATTTCCTGCGTCGGAAGTACGGATTTTAAAGTGCATGGCCAAAAAAATGGCAGTGTTGTTGACTTCCTGTCTGTGCCAAAACATCTTTTGTGACAATAGAGAATACAAATGTTAAAAAGAAAGGTATGAAGAAATCAACACCACGCCCCCTCACTTTGATCCTTGTTCCTTGCGATTCGGTTAAGCTCCTTTGAAATACAATTTGTTACAATTATTGTATGGTGATAATTTGTATTTAGGCAAAAAATAGAGAAAATCGTTGACATAATTAAACAGATATATAACAGGTCACTAAGTCACTGTGAATAAATTATCAACTATGTGCTACTTTTTTCATTTTTATTATTTTAGCTTCAGTGTTACACAATACATCAAAATTACGAAGAAAGTTTCAAAAACTGTAATGCAGTTTTGTCAAATTGAGACCGTTTGTGATTTCGATCATCTTCCTTTACTGCCTCGTTTCTTGGAATGGTATTAATGACCTTAATTTCATGTCAAATCATGACGGAATAACCCCACGGTGTGTATACGCAAAACATATAACTTTTCGACGAAAGCCAGCAGAAGGCCCAAATGCATAATGATGAATTGTTTATAAAGGGAATGCACATTAAATAAGGACTCCGATGTATTTTATTTTGTTCCTGATACTTTTCACTTTTTTCGCAGTTACAAAAAACGCGAACTTAACCGAATTAAGCCTTGGGTGGAAGTCTGCAATTGCCGTCGCTGTTTACCCAGAAGGAGAGGTTGTACATGTTGTTTTTGAGCCAATTCCTCCAAGACTGGTCCATAGGCAAATAAGCTATCGAATTGATCTCCATAAGTATCCAGAACAATATGAACCAGTACAGACATATAAGGTACTCACTTTGAATTTTCGTAGTTAACGTCTAAACAAAACATAAATTTGAAAGACAATATTTGTTTATTTTGTATTATATGTGTGTCCATTCTTTTATGTATTATTTTATTTCATATTATATATGAAAACATCAGAACTTTATTTTATTACTTTCGTATTCTATTATCATCAGAATTATCATTTTTTATATTAACTTTTATACAAATGCATATAGAATGATTCTATTTAAGAATGTGTAGTAATCATTCCATTCATGTATATCACTCATGTGACTATCTCATCGTCCTACAGATACCGGATAATGTAACAATATATACGCATACATTCCACGGCATCAAAGAGGGAGAGTACTATGTGGAGGTAAGTAGGTGAGAAAAATGATTATTTACATGAGTAAGTATGCACACATAAATGTGTACACTTATATCAGACCTATCATAATAATGAGACCGACGGTCATCTTTAAGTGCTAATCGGGGGGTCAAATGTCAACATTGGTTAAAGGCTTTAACAATCTTCTTCTAAAGTTCCATAAGGCCCAGTGTCATGATATTTGGGCAGTCGATACCTGGGATGAAATGCTATACATTTTCCTCATTAAAATGACCTCGACCTACTTTCAAGGTCACAGGGGTCAAATGTTGTTGTGGATTTGTCTCTTTATTGTCACTCGTCTTTGTTTGATGTTTGATTATTACACGTTGGTTCTAGCTTTCTCTAGTCTTACCCGACAGGTTCACTGTGTAAGGAATAATTATAATGCCAGGGAGAACCCGTGGAGCAGATCCCAGCCATTTTCAGTCATGCCGATAAATTCTTCATCAGGCAAGTGGTTTTTTTGGGTTTTTTTTTGTATTTTGATTTTGTTTCTCTTCCCTTTTTCCATATGATTGCACCCATGTTCACTTAAGGTCATTGGAGTGTATTGATAAACGGAAATAGGAAGTACATCCCTAGTTGAAAATCCGATGTAGGGAGACAGTATCACAATTTCCGCATATTCTAATGTTTATAATTAAGCTGATGAATATTGTATGTTTACTATTGACAGAACTGTGTGCTCTCTCAATATTAAAGTATTTCAAGGCAATCCAGGCATTAATTCAGTTGTTTTTTATCAATGAGACACATGTGTTCATTTTTCTGTACTTCAGGAAACCGGCTACCTATTTCACTACTGTGAAGTTTTTCAAGACAGATAACTCTTACATGCAATTACTATGTGTATATGGTTTTTATTATAAAATGTCAATTTTTAATCCTTTATAGATAATTTATTTTACACAATTTCAGCTTTTATTAAATTGATATACATTAATGCATTACTAATCTATGGCAGTATTATTTTTATTGACATTATTTGCAAACAATTGTGTCTTTCATTTTTTCTTCAAAATTTACTCCTTTTTACATAAATTTCCATTTAAAATCCTTAAAATTCTGACAACCTATATTTTTTTGTGGCAGAAAATTTTCTTTACTTCAAAGCAATATAACTACAAAGTTTGAAGAAATTCTATTGAGAAATGGCGACACAATCCTGTTACCTTAATATTAGGATATGTATCAATGTTTGGATAATAATTTAGTTCACAATTTAGAAAAGTAGATAAAGTCCCAAAGATGGTGCAGAAACGATTTAATTCCAATGACATTGTATATGGTTTCATTTTTGACCGAAAACAATTCAAATAAATATTTGACTGAATGTTTCAATAAGTACTACCTCGTAATTATACATACAATTTTCGTTTCCCTACTGCTTACCATTCCGTTTTTTGCAGTGTCTTCTGGGCATCGCTAGTTTTCTCATTGTCATATTATTTATAACCGGCTGGGGTGTCATGTAATCATGTCTGGGTTTATAACACATCGATGTATTGCCCTTTTACTCATTGACCCCTGAAATTTCATAATGAACTATTCAAACCTTTGAATTGGAAGAGTTCAAATGTGTCTTCAGGGGTCAATGAGTTTAAGCGGTCACTAATTGACCCTATCAATGTTCTTTATGCATTTTATATTTTTAGGTATTTAGTTGTATTGGACAACCCTTGAAAACGGTGGTTTATGTACAACCAAATCGCTTTTGGGGTAAAAACATCTTATCTAGGGGGTTTGGGAACACCGCCTAGTAGCTGATGTCCTTAATTCATATTACTTTCATATAACAATATTTTGCTCTGATGCAAAACCCACTGCAATCAAACGGGGAAAATATTATGTTATTTAATATTTCTAGAAGCCTATGGCAATATAGATTTTAATCAAGTAGAAGAAAAAAGAAGGAATTAGAAAGAATTAGGCAGCATAAAATGACGGGAAATATCATTCGATCAAAAGCTAAATGGGTTGAAGAGGGAGAAAAACCAACAAAATATTTTTTAAATCTAGAAAATAGAAATTTTACTTCGAAAACTATTCCAATCTTAGAAAAAGGAAATGGGGAAACTATTAGAAAACAGGAAGATATTTTAAATCAAGTAAAATTATTTTATCAACATTTATATTCAAGTAATAGTAATATTGAAGATGTTAATCTAGATGCATTTTTAAATACCTATAACAATAATGTTCCTAAACTAGATAAAAAGGAATCATGAGTATTAGAGGGTAACATTTCATTAGACGAAGCCTCAAATACTTTAAAAAATATGAAAAATAATAAAAGTCCTAGGTCAGATGGTTTTACAGCTGATTTTTTTAAATGTTTCTGGGGGAAATTAAGTAATTTTATAATAAGGTCTATCAATTACGGATTTATGAATGGAAAATTATCTATAACTCAAAGACAGGGTATAATTACATGTCTACCCAAGGGAGACAGACCCAGGCAGTTTTTAAAGAATTGGAGGCCAATTTCATTACTAAACATAAAATATAAAATAGCAACTGGTTCAATAGCAGGTAGAATAAAAACAGTTTTAGATAAATTAATAAATAGGGATCCGACTGGTTTTATTGCAGGGAGGTATATAGGGGAAAATACAAGGCTAATTTATGATAGCATGCAGTATGCAGAAGAAAATGAAATTCCTGGTATGCTTTTAATAATAGGCTTTGAAAAGGCTTTTGACTCTGTTAGTTGGGATTTTATAAACACAGTTTTAATTTGTTTTTAATTTTGGGAATGATATATGTAGGTGGATAAAAATTGTACATACTAATGCAATCTCTTCTATTAATCAGGGAGGAAATGTTTTCGAAATAAAGAGGGGCTGTCGGCAGGGCGATCCAATCGCACCTTATATATTTATTCTATGTGTAGAAGTACTTGCTATAAGATTTAGACTTAATAAGAATATTAAATGTATTAATATAAATAATGTTCCTATTTTATTATCTCAGTATGCAGATGATGCCTCAATTATATTAGATGGTACAAAAAGATCTATGAAAGAATCATTTAATGAATTAAACAGCTTTGCAAAAATTTTTGGATTAAAAGCAAATAAAAGTAAAACACAAGTTGTTTGGATTGGCAGTAAAAAATATAGTAATGATACTTACTTTCCAGAGTGGAACTTACAATGGGGAATTACAAAATTTACAGTTTTAGGCATTGAATTTAATGTGGACTTGCACCAAATTCCAAAACTAAACTATAATATAAAAAAATGTTAAGCTCAAGGCATTTTTAACACCAATAGGAAAAATTAATATTATAAAGTCCCTTCTTATATCACAGTTTAATCATCTTTTTATTTCTTTACCAAATCCAGAAGAATGCTTTATTAAAAAACTGAATACTGAACTTTATAATTTTTGATGGAACAGCAAATCAGATAAAATAAAAAGAGACATTGTTATTAAGAATTATCTGGAAGGGGGACTCAAAATGCTACATTTACAATCATTTATAGAATCTTTAAAATTAACCTGGATTAGGAGACTATATACAACAGAAGGAAAGTGGCATATTTCTGTTAAATTATGTGGAAATGGAAATATTATAGCTCATTGTGGTACTGATTATATGCTAAAATGCAAGAAGAGTTGTAAAAAAATATTTTGGAAAGATGTGCTAATAAGTTGGTGCAAGCTAGCTGAAAAAGTTGTAAATTTGGGAAACAAAAAGGTAAATATTCTCAAATCACCCATTTGGTATAATAAATCAATAAAAGTACAAAACAAGAGTATATTTTATAGGGAATGGTATAGGAAAGGGGTAACAATAGTTTATAACTTAATTAAAGAAAGAAGAAATAAATTGTTTTACAGCCATCAAGATTTTTGGAAATTTTTCTTAACCACAAAAAAGAAACTAAAGACTTTTACCATGTTCTATGCCAAAATAATACAATATCTACAGGTAGGAAGAAGCGGGAGGAAATATTTGAATTTAACACAGAGATATGGAAGAAAATCTATACCATTCCCTTCAAAATTAGTAAAAACTCAAAACTACAGTGGCTTCAATTTAGAATCAATCAACATAGTTTAACTAATAATTCATATCTATATAAAATACGTCTTGTTAATAGTCCATATTGTTTTCATTGTAAAACTGACACAGAAACTATAGTTCATGCATTATGGGAATGTTAAGAAGTTCAAGTGTTTTTAACAGATTTTGAATCATTGCTAGATGTGTTATTAATTCCATTTGCTTTTAATAAAGAATCTTTTATCTTTGGTTTCTATGATAGAAAAAACAATGTTGATAATTTAGTACTTCTTATCATTTAACTATATATTTATAAGGCTAGATGTCTGCAAACTGGTCTATCAGTTTTAACTTTGAAAAACCTACTTAAAGATATTTACAATTCTCAAAAATACATTGCTGTAGGTAATGGTGAAAATTATCTCACTTATTTTAAAAGGGAATGAAAAAAAATGGGAAAGATTACTGCAGGCCATATAACTGAAATGTAAATTAATTATAATAATATAGTACCAATGTAATTCCTGTTAAAAGTAGCGTATGTACAAAAATTTACACAAAATTGAACAATAAGCCCTTGTCAAATCCTTCGACACCTCTCCAACCTTCCTTTTCTTTCTTTTCCCTCTCTTTCTTTATTACTCTTTTCTTTCCTATATCTTCTTCTAAAACAGTACAATGGTACATAACACCTAATATCCTGGTTTCAGCATGTGACAATAGTCAAACTGTTTGTTTTTTTCTTTTTTTGTATTTGTTTGCTTCTCAACTACAATGCATATAAAATTAGTCTATGTATCTTGTTTCAAACTTGTAAAGAAAATAATTGTTTTTTTGCATTGGTATCCAAATTGATGTAATATTATAAGAATGTTAAAAAAAATGTCAAGACAAACAAAAAACTTGTGTGAAAATTAAGAATGTGAGACTGAAATATGATGTGTTATGTTTAATATACTGTTGAAAAAAAAATGAAAAATAAAATAAAAATAAAAAATGTTATTTAGATTAATAATAGTTAGTTTATATCTTTCAGGAGAAAACGTGACCAACCAGATTGAAGAAGGGGTCAACAAATCGCATATCTTTACATCATTAATCATAGTAGCAGCTCTCGGCATTGTCATCTTTTCGACAGTTTGCATCTTTATTTTACATCGGAAGTTTCCAGGTAGGTGTGAAATAAAATGTATTTGAGAAAAACCCGAGGAATCTTAAATAAAAAAAAATGAAATGAAATTGAGAAACTTAAATAGTGATCAAATAGACATAAGTTAATGGATTTACACCATTAACTACTTACGCAGGATATACGCTAATAGATAACACCATTAGTTTAATACGCTGGATATGAGTTCATTGATTGACTTCAATAATCATTAAATGGGCATACGTTAATGGATTTACACCACTAACTACTTACGCTGGAAATAAGTTTATTGGTTAGCTTCACTAATACATGTACAAATGTACCTTACGCTAGACATAAGTTTAATATATATTTACACCATTTACTACTTACGCTTGTACTGATTAATTTCAATAATTACTAAATAGACATACATGAAAACTGATGGATTAAGATCATTACATGTAACTACTTATGCTGGATATAAGTTAAATGGTTAGCTTCAATAATAAATTAAACTAGATATACGCTAATAGATTAACACTGTAAACCACTAACGCTTAATATCAGATATGATTGGCTCAATTAGTTATTAACACTGTAAACCACTAACGCTTAATATCAGATATGATTGGCTCAATTAGTTATTAACACTGTAAAACACTAACGCTTAATATAAGTTATGATTGGCTCAATTAGTTATTAACACTGTAAACCACTAACTCTTGATATCAGTTATGATTGGTTCAATTAGTTATTAACACTGTAAACCACTAACGCTTAATATCAGTTATGATTGGCTCAAATAGTTATTAACACTGGAAACCACTAACGCTTAATATCAGTTATGATTGGCTCAATTAGTTATTAACACTGTAAACCACTAATGCTTAATATCAGTTATCTGATTGCCTCAATTAGTTATTAACACTGGGTCTCGGGTAATGAATTCATATCATTATCTACTTACACTGAATACAATTTAATACTGATTAACTTCCTTAATTAAATAAACTTGGTGATTGATACAATTGAACTTATTTTTATAATATTTTTACACTATATAAATTAATGGAGTAGTTTTGTATCATATTTAACATTATACGCTTATTGAATATTATAAGTGCACAGAGTCCTCATGTGGGAAAATGTTATATTTTTCAGCTTCAGGACATAAACGGCAAAAGGATGCAGTATTGATTGATAAAACTAGAAATAATCCTCGTCAAGTGTCACCTGATAAATATGGAAATAATTCTCGTCAAGTGTCACCTGATGAATATGGAAATAATCCTCGTCAAGTGTCCCCTGATGAATATGGAAATAATCCTCGTCAAGTGTCCCCTGATGAATATGGAAATAAGTCTCGTCAAGTGTCAAATGATGAATAGGGAAATAATTCTCGTCAAGGGTCCAATGATGAATATGGAAATAATTATCCTCAAGTGTCACCTGATGAATATGGAAATAATTCTCGTCAAGTGTCAAATGATGAATATGGAAATAATTATCGTCCAGTACCATTTGATGAAAACAATATTATTTCTCCTCCGCTAGAAGAAAATGCAAAGGAAACAAAGGCAATGATTAAATTGGAACCAAAGTTTTTAGAACTTAATTTCGAGTAATCAATTGATTTTAAAATTAAACATTTGAAATGTTAGCATTGTTTATATTGATTTTGATTTACATTAAAATAATTCAGACAAAAACACACAAAGAAAATCATTGCATACTCTACTATTACAATACAACTATAACAAAACGTTCAACTTAACTGTATGCAATTATTTTGATTTATGATACAAACCTCGCAAAAATGCGATATTTTTTTAAGTGAAAAAAGGTCATGACTCTGGAGAATTAAAGCTGATATTAAGGGTACGTTGTGCTAACTTTCGCACTTTTTTTAATCAGCAAGATGACTCAGGCATTTCTAGCCAACGTTATAAACTTTCCGTTAATCCCATTCTCAGGGAGTGAAACGTGTCAAAGATATGAAATAAAAAAGATTTTATTTAATTTTCTTACTTAAACATGGCCTCAACCCTGTATTTGGTGAGAAGTAGCCGTCGGGAAAGTCTTCGCACGCTTATTCTTGACATCGATATAAGTTATTGAAATTGTATATCTTTTCAAAACAATATACATCAAGTGTTTATAGATTTTTATTACTACAATTTTACCACAGTTTTTCCGACAGATTGTGGCAGGGTAACTTTAAGGATTAAATAACAATTAAAGCACGTTGTAGTAAAATGATTAGGACAATGGAATAAAACTCGATGTATTGTAGCTAATAAGCGAAAGTATCTGCTTTGTGACTCGAGTCCGATTGGGATATGGGACAAGGTAGTAATGTTTACAGTGTAGACAATATGATGTTGTCAAATTTTCGGAACAACCTGCTCCTCCATCGATACACAAGAAAAACACAGAAAAACACATAACACTTACATTACATAAAAACGTAATAGAATTATGATAGGATACAACTAATATGTAAAAACAATGAGCCCCTCGACTAGCGAAACCAGAAGGCAGAATTTACACTGACCGCATCGTTGAACAATGCTACTATGTGTGTGCGAACATAGACTAAAAGATTATAATATAGCGGGGAAACTGAAGCATAAAGAAAGATGCTGAAGCTGGGAAACAATGACGCAACCATTCGTCAAGTGAAAGGCATGGCCACCACAAAGATTATTGAGGAGTTGACAACCATTGTAATGAAGTGTGAATCACCTCCGGGCAACTTCTTTAGGATATTATTCAATTCGTTCCTGGGGAATCGTTTAACACGAGGAGGAGCCTGGAATAAACCGTTGTTTGCAAAAAATCTCCGTGCAACTTACAGGTTAAATAGTAATCCTGTTCCTGTGCACTAAATAATTTGATATGTCCACATTTCTCATTGTACGCACATGTAGTATGAAGGCTAAAACACCAAGGAGGACATAGAAACAGTTTTGTAGCCTAGTAAAAGAAATTAACAAAGTTTAGCATATGATGAGGTACATGTAGTATACACGGTAGCCTTAGAGAAGATATCCGAGAGATCATAGACTACGAAGTGCCAGTAAACAACGCGGAACCAGTGAGGCGGTAAAAAGACAGTGCAAATGTATAGTCTAATCGGATTACGAGATAAGGGAACAATAGAAGCCAGTGTGTAGTTTAGCAAGCAATATAAGACAATGCAGAGAATTAAAGAGAGACAGTAAAGCGCAGTTAAGGAGGAGGATTGCCGTAGTAAGCAATGTATTAGTAAATAGTGAACCGTGCGTAGTGTGATAAAACATTGTGGGAAATCAGATATTTTCGTGGGACCCAAATTTCGTGGTTTCCCGACAAAACACAATTTCGTGGGTACATGAATTCGCGGATTACGAGTACCCACTCAAACGGAGAACTGCGTTATAATGAATTATGTTAATAAACAGACTGTTGACGAAAAGTTGGTAGATTAACTGTTAATAATAAGAACGAGGTATTAATAGTTTGTAGCATTGAAAAGTAGACATTGCAAATGAAGATTCGTCAGCTAAATGTCTACCGTACAGCTACCGTATTTTAACTTACTTCTAACCTATATCTAACGTATCTGCAACGCATATGGACTTATTTTACGTATTAGTAACCTATGAGGAACGTGTTTCTAGCGTACATCTAGCGTATTATTGGCGTATATATAGGGCCCCTGTGAGGAGCTCATAGTCACTACTCTCACCATCCTCAGGGGAGATGGAGGATCCTAGGAGGCTGCGACGAGAATACCAAAAAGACGTTCTCCAACATCAGCAGAATATCATCGCATTGGCACTTTACCAGTTCCATGCGAATTAGAGAAGGAAGAGAAGAGGTCAACGAAAGGGGTTTCATTTCATATTATTTCAGTGAATTTTATTGAAAAATCAAAAGGATTGGACAACAGGCTATATAAACTAAATATAGAAAGAAAGAGAGAGAAATGTTACATTAAGTAGTTACAGAAATAGTGATGCAAAGGGAGTAACTCCAACAAAAGTTATAAATAAATAAATGAATAAATAAGCCTCATTTATTGAGACCAAGGATCTCCCCAGTGTTAGACAGCAAGAGATCCACAAGGTACTAGGAATTCTGACCATACAAAGTCCTTAGCCATACACTGGCTTAGGTCATTCACACCAGCAGACCTTGGACCCTTGCCATGCAAAACTAGGAGATTTTTGGTAATAAAATGTATATAGTTAAATATTTTCAGCAGAAGTCATCATTTTTATCATCATCATCCAGCCACCTACATTCATCAAATTTATGTTATCAATTTATAAAGTAATAATTATCTTTTATAGAAAGATGAATTTTGTTATGCACAGTACAGTTACAATTAATGGTGGTTAAATAATCTCTTTGTATCAGTGATAAAGACTGATACTTTTTCAAGTATAGTAGCATTATTATCATCACTACATTGTGAACAACCATTGAGAAAGATATTTATATTGTTATACATTTGATGATCATTCGGTAAGGAGTTCATCAGAACATGTCTTTGGTTATTAAAGTTTTGACATTCAAAAAAGTAGTTGTAGGGGGTTTCTTGATCCTGTCTGCAATCACAAGTAGGTGAACCAGACAAGTGATCATTATAAAGGTCAAAATTCAAGTTACTGGCCTTATTTCGTAGTGGGCATAGAATACTATTAATTTCTGCATTCTGAATATTTGAATATGAGGGTTACATCATTATGAGGTTTGTTAAGGTTTTTTAGGTGTTTTTTAAACTGAGATAGGGACCGGGAGTTCGTAATAGTAGCGGGGTAGAAGGAGTTTAAGGCCACAGAACCAGCCACACTGAAAGAGGCGGACGGCAGCAGAGGAATCAGCAGCTATAGGTCTAGTGGGCGATGGTTAGAGTGAGGGCGCTTTTTTCTTGCCTCGGCTAGACGTGGTCTTCCTCTTGGGGCGTGTTCACAGGTCTGTGTCTACTGCCGGAATGATGAGCAGACGTTCGTTTGTTTGTTTGTTGACCGTGTTTTCGCCTACACGACTCCACCCATACAGGTTTCGTCTCACTGACAAAGGTCGGTGTTCTGTCGGCGTTGAGCAGCCGTACATCGCCGCCTTATTTAGAGAGCGTCACGTGATCGTTGTGTATGTGCTTAGCATGCCGCACATACGCTACTCATACGCTTGTTTTAAGTTCTATTCGCTAGTCACACGCTAGTCACGCGTAGTTCAAGTTCAAGTTCTTTATTACCTTGGGTCGTTTGACTCATCGGTTTCAAAAGTAAGATATATTTACAATATCTACAGACAATACAATACAATACAATACATGCAATACATACAATACAATACCAGCAATGTACAAACAGTATGGAGAGTGTAACAGTTTAAGTTAATTGGTTTCTTCTTACATTTGCCGCTTTTATATATTTGGCCAAATTGACAAGTTCTTTTGTGTTATTTACATTAAATAGATTTATCATTTTAAACATACTTGTTTTTTTTACATAGTACTTTTTCAAAAATTTAACACGCAAATCCGATTAACATGGACATTTCAACATAAAATGAAACTCATCTTCAACGTCATTTAAATTACATACAGTACACACTCTAAGACTACGCTCAATATTTTGGTATCTACCTTTTTCTATATTTAGATTATGAGCAGTAACCTAATTTTTGTAATCTCTTTCAAATATTCTCTAGATAATGGTTTTCTTAAGTAACACTGTAAATCAAACCGGTTATAAAGATATGTATAGATATATCCCTTTGAAGATGTTCTTACGTTTTCTTTGCATTCTTGTCTATATATATCAATAAGTCTTTCTCTAATAACATTATAACACATATCATCATTTATTTCTGTTTCCCATATGTAACCAAGGCCAATTCTAAATAAATCATTTTTTATGTTTAAAACCCATTTATCCTTATTCTCTAACATATCTTTAAAACATACTTGCAAAACACAATTACTAGTCCTTTTTAACTTAATCCAATATTTAATCATTCTTAACTTTCTTACCAATGACAATGGATACCTCCCAAGTTCTAAATAAACCATAACATTACAAGTATTTTTTCTTACGCCAAGCAGTCGTTTACAAAACAAAGTATGATTTTTTTTCAATATCTGGGGCTTTATGAAAGCCCCATATTTCAGAACCGTAGCTTAGAATGCTATTTACATAAGTATTAAAAACTGATAATTGAGTTTCAATATTAAAATAATTTTTCCGACATACATTCATAACTGAAAACAAAACAAAGTAGTAATACGCTCTGAAAAGTTACCTATCAGACACGGTACGGTGATACGATACGTGACAGCGCCATATGAATCCAAGCTAAGTAAATATTAAATAGCTGCAGAATATAAACAATTAAAACTGGCCGAAATGGCAGTCATCATATCATACATGTAGCATACGATCATTTCTTTCATAAATTGAAACGAAAAGTACAGTAAATTACAATCGCTGTATCACACGCGAGCTGCATATTAAGTGCGACCTTGTTAACCCCGCACGTGTGTATGTGTTTACAGGTGTCCTCGACCTGCCCGTATGTAAATTGTATTAGCTTAGCTACTCGGATACATGGAGCAGCGGGAAAATCGTGTCAAAAGTCACAATGTTGACAAAGTTTTCAGCGATTAATGCGTTCTAGATGTGAATTGGCTTAGTAACCGATACAGCAGGTCAAAGGTAAATCATTCTAGCTGGGGTTTGGATTTCCATGAACGCGACACTTTAAATGCATGTCCGTTTTAGACGGATGAAGCGTGTTTTTGAGTAATTGAACGCTACAATGCTATGGCCAAAATCAGGAAATGATATTTCACCAACAGATTCAAGCACCCCGTTGCGTAAAATAATAACAACATTATTGTTATACAATACCAGAAACTGTGAAGTTAGCTTTCAAGAACCAAGTGTTAAAGATTGTATCCTAAAACATTTTATGATAGTGGAGTTTAACGATGAAACGACTGACCAGTGCTAAATGAAATAGTGTTCGTGGCGATTGGTTTTCAAATAGCTTTAATATATAAATGATGTTTAAAGAATTTTGTCGTTAGAAACTTTCTTGCTTGATAATATCTGTGATATTAATGTAATATGACGTCATGTTTTTAATAGTCTCCCATAATTCTTTTAGACTGGTTTAAAGCAATTTTTTGTGCATGTTGATAATTTATGTCATTGTATAAAACGTGTAAATTGTTGAAAGGTGAAGCTTAATAAACATTTGTATCTGTATAATGTTATAAATAGAGGATCTTACATGAATGCACATGTCATATTGAATTTATTGAACGAGTTTAACAAATTAAATATGACATGGACATTCATGTAAGATTCTATTTATTACATAACATTCATAATTCGAATAAAAAAATCAAACACAATTAAGTTTTCTAAGCTGACTCTACATAGATAAAAACAAAGTACTCCGATCGTAGTATAGTCGTTCCGCGCAGTGCAAAGTAGTTCAAGATTATTTTCTCTCTTTTTTTTTTTATATTGAACATTTTAAATTGCAATGAAAAACAAAATAACATTTCAAGTTCATAAAATAGCATTAAATGTATCATATGGTATAGCACGGACTCATCTTATTCCGTTTGTATAATAAAAAAAATAGTTCCTTTAGCGGCGTAGGAATATTTTGCCATGGTTTTGACCAATCGCAGCACCTTACGCTTTATAACATGAATAATACCATATTTATGACATGGCCGTATGCCATATTAAAATGGGGCAGTTATATGATAATTCCTTTTTTTCATTTAAATACGTTTTCAAACCAGTAAGCGCATTTACATTGCCGTTGTACAGCCCCAACAAAAATGTTGGTATACATGTAAACAAATACTAACAATTAATGTTATACGCGTGTGTTTTCGAATCGGAAACTGTTCAGGAATTCCATCATACCGTTAGCTTCATCGGAGACCAATCATTGCGTGATGTCAAATTTAAATCATGATGAATTTTCCAAACAGTTTCCCAATTAACGTTAGTCGCCTAATGAAACTGGTAATCATATAGAAAGCACAGGTGCTTGCATGGATGAAACAGCAATCGGCTTACCTCGGATGATTCCGTTATCTTTCGCCAATTGTTTGATGTAGGTACGGAATCCGCCGAGTAATGACGAGTAGATGAAACAGGTGTTTACATGATCGTGATATGACACGTCGTGTTTACCTTCCTAAGGTTTTTTTTCAAAACAAAGGTCGTCAACTTAGTGTCGTGGCAGCCTGTACCCCATCACATTCCAACGGTCTAAGCCACATTTATCAACTGTCACGGCTGCTGGAAACGCAGAGTGGCATATACAATTATTTTTCTTTCGCTTACCCTGTCCGTCACTAAGCGAAAGCATATTTTCTAAGATAAGCTATACTGCATCATATGATTTTTAAACGAAAGTGTGTTACATACATGTACCATCATAAATGTTAAAAATGTGCATTTCTTCCTAAAATGACTGAACAACTAAGTCTTTCCGATTACAAAAATAACATTTATTTCAGAAAACACCAATTAATTCAGTGAACTATTCAATGACTTCTCATGGAAAAATAAAACATTCTGTAATGGTCTTCATAGTTAGGATGCTTACATAAAAACCCCGACATATGGGAATAATTAGGTCGTAAACTACTGTGATAGCTATAGATAAATGGTCTTTTAAGGCAGGTTGGATTGTATTTGTTCAAACGGTGTACACAAATATACTGTTAGTGTGCATACAAAAATATATATGTTATACATAGATGTGTTTTATAAATGTCAAATGTTGGACTAAAATATCAATCCAGTAATGTGAAGCCTGCAAAGTATACTGTCAACGCTTAACGATATCACCAAACTTCACCACAACTTCAGCACGTATTTATTTATAAGTAGTGAATATAGAAGCAAAATTAGCATATCATAAAAATGCAAAAACAATATTATCAATTCAAATAAAACAAGAGGCCAAGACTTTTGGCGAGCCCACTTTAGATTGGTCAGACTATTTTCTCCCTGAATTCAAATATAATATACATACTATACGCAAGTAATATATTTTAAATCGTCAAATGTGCTCCGTTGCCTTGATTTCGCCAGTTTTAATTCTACAATTTCTACAAGTATCAAGTAACGTGCAAAATGAAACATTGTTAAAGATTAGATTAACCTCGCCGTGATGGAAACATGCCACCAGAAAAACAAATCATCTGAATAATTCCGACGACCTAGACCTATTTAATAAAATGACATTATCATGAAAAAAGAAATGAAGTGAAGTGTTTTACCTTAATTTGCGGGGAAAAAAGTTGCGAAACAAAACAAAAATGTCATGATTTTCCGTTACGACATATTTAAATAAAACACATTACATGTTTATTTCGTGATTTTCAATCCTCGCGAATTATAAATATCACGAATACAGCTATTTAAAACAGGTTATGTATATGCAATCAAGGTATATTAAAAATATATATTTAAAGGTATACAATATATAGAAATGTATTATGCTGTTACATGTAACTTAACTATAACTGATCATGATGTGTTAATTGATTCTGTCAATACAAAAATAACAAATCATATTTACATATTATTAAAGCATTAATATAGACATGCAATGCATACAGTATTATTTTGACAGTATTATTTATTGTGCATTTTTCGTGATAAGGTAAAATTCGCAAATTTAACACGACAGCGAACATTTTTAGTAATGTAAAACTATACAAGTCTTACAATCTCATCCTCACAAACTGAACGTGAATAAGCTGTTTTAAGATAAAAATATTTTACTCGGTGGTCATTTTGAAACCATATCCATTATTAGCCCAAGAGTTAGTCTGTCCCGATATCGGCGAGAGGGCCAAGGACCCGAGTGCAGGTATCGAACTCGAGGGTTAGGCCTATATAATGAAAACCAAGTGAATATATTGAATGGCCATATGATAAACCTTTTTTTCGTTTGTATCAACAAGTAATATCACAGCTTCCCGACATGACAGAGACATATATCAAACTTTCAGTTTTTCTTCCCTCTTCATGGATTTCGCAAATATATCATACAGCTTGTGGAATATTTCTTCTTCTCCAGACCCTTCATAATTTTCAAATCCCTATTATGTCGTTTAAATATATTATCTTATCTTTTCCCCTGATCTCTCGATTCAATCAGCTGACGAAATGCCAACATGTATCTAACTTGATGTTCACATGACAGAGTTTCGAAAGAATCTGAAGATTTCATCTGCCAAAAACAGCTTTCGAGGAGTACCGAACAGGAGGTGCGAAACTCCATCAGAAAACAGAAACCAAAATGAATAACAAACACTGCTTGTTGCACCTCCTTGTCCTTCTACCAAAACTCTTCCCTCGACCCGCTCCTACATGAATCCACTCCGAACAAGGGCTAGCTGCGCCCCTGGAAACGAAAGATTTATCACACTGGTGGCCGGAAATCCTTTCAGGATGGGTTAGAAATCATCAAACACGCAAAAAACCGTTGTCCAATGACGTCTATGGTTTAAAGGCCCCATTAGTGACAGATACCCCGAGAGTCTCTGTCGATTGATAGGTGGACTTTGACGTTTTGAGAGTCTTAACTTCGTGTCGAAGATGAAGGATATATGCCATCATCAGTAGCATTACGACTCCGAGGACAGCAACCGTCACCCAGAACATCTTCATGGTGTACCCTTCTGAAATGAAAGATTGGATATATTTCCTTTAGAATGTACAACCTTAACATATGATTTAGTTTTCATTTATTTATCTAAATTATCGTTATTGAAAAGTTATTTCCTTTACTCCATACTTATATTCATTATTTTTGCTGCTTGCGTTATTTTACAAATGTTACTTTTTTCAGTGTAAAAATTGATTACGCTCACACCGACAGCTTACAGAGAAACAAACATTAAAATACAACTTTTAAAACAGTGGTACCTTTCTCTTCTGATAATTGTTTTGGTATTTGTATGATAATGAATAAGTATGTGTGTCTATATATATATGTGTGTTTGTTTTATGTCATGTTATGTATATAGTGTGACTGTATTGTATATTAAAAAATTGAAAAAGAAAAGAAGAAAAAAAGTTACAATTACTCCTGTATATATTGACCAGGTCATCATTTTGATATGAGACAATGTTCAGTAAGTGTTGCAATTTCGTAACATACCATCTTCGGTATTCCTTCCCGTTCTTACATCAGGGCCAGACTCTGGCGAGCTAATTTCTTTATCGTTTATTTCCTGGCTCTCCCTAAAAGCAGATGGAAACCCGTGGCACTGAGGAAACCCTCTCGGCGGAGGAGGATACATGCCGTAAGAATTGTTTAGTAGCATCGCCATTCCATCAGTGCTATGTAGTTCTATATGACAATGCATTATCCAAACTCCTGGGTTATCGGCCTTGATTCTGACAACAGCATATCCTCCGCTTGGAATGACTATCGTATCCTTTCGCGGTGCATTGTCAAGTTCTACACCTGGTAAATTTCCTCCTAGCCAATTTGGATCGCTCCATGTTGCGTCATTGCAGAAACTCTCATCCTGATTGCCTGCACCACGACAGTTGATGTCCGTGTTTTGTGAGATGTATTTACCTGTTGTTTCGTTATAGGAGGCGTATCCCATCTTAACGACGTAGAACGAGTAACCATGCATATGGACAGGGTGCGCCCATCCTCTCCCCTTACCCATGTTTAGTAAAACAAACTGAACCACGTCGTCATGGTTTATCGGTAATGTAAACATACATTCACATACTTTCTCTTCTCCACAGTCAACGTTGTCACACGTTTCTTCGATCTCTCGAGGTTGTGTTAGAGCCGACACTTGTGGAAGTTTGAATTTATGCCCATTTACTGAGCCAGGCGTAACCGTTGTTCCAGGGAAGGCAAAATTCAGGAAATACTCTTTAAATTCTCCATCGTCACCATTTGATGAAGGGGCAGGGTCATTATTTGAATTAGATTTCAGGGCATCAAAGCGTTTGCAATGTGTATAATCAGAAGCAGGATAGAAGGTGAACGGGCAGTTGATTACTATACACTCCGATGTCGATGTACATTGCTTTTTAGTCGAGGTGGGTTCGGTTGTTGCTGCTGTATCATACCTGAGAATTGCTTCAGCTTTATGCATATTGTTACTTTCTAACGATTCGGCACGGATCCAGTAATTGCCGATCGGCTGATTTGCGTGGAGAATGAAATCGTACCGTTCACCAGGACTTATAATGAAGGATTCTGCAGTTTCTGCTTCAAAGTCGTAACCATCAGAGGCAATGAGTGTCAGGTTGTGATCATCAACAGATACCCTAAATGGATATAGACCTCCTACATTTATAACTCTGAATCTGTACTCCATTTGTTGTGTTACTGAAAAGACTTCAAGTGGCGCGTTGTTATGAATATTGGCGTTCATGTCAAGGTAAACTCTCCCCCTTCCGTTTATCAGAGCTGACGTTAGTTTGAACCGACTAAATGATGTACCGTCCAAGGACTTTGACGCTTCAAGTAATGTCCGATTTTTAAATACTCCATACACCATTTTCTGATGATCCATATCCGAGTCCCAATCATGGTTCCAGCCCTGAACGGTAAGAATGTGTTCTGGTACATTCCATGTCGGTTTTCTCTCTCGAATTATCAGCGCACCATTAAGTCCCTTTGTGCGTTGAGAACCTACATGGGAGTGGTACCAGTAAGTTCCCTTTGGTTCCGCCGTGAATTCATATGTAAAGGACTGTCCCGGAAGTACTGGGCACTGAGACACATATGCCACGCCGTCCATCCACGGACTGTTGTACTGTGGAAGACCATGCCAATGGATTGAAACTGTGTCAGAGTGTAGCTCATTTATGACCTTTACCTTGAGGGTCTGTCCCTCGTAAACGATGATCGGGGGTCCAGGAAGACTTGAATTGACTACGGTCACAAGCCTCTCGTCTTCCCATCCGTCCGTTGTGATTACTTCAGCCATGGGGACATCTACACTTTGTTCCGGAATGCTGACGTCATATTTGTATAGCTTCCCCATATATGGGTAAACTTTTCGGTGGATTTCATGCATCATGGTCAATTTGTGTTGTATAACTAGAGTTGTCTCACAAACGGTTGCTTCCTTGTCACATTCAAAACATACGACGTATCCGAAAGATATCACCAAAACAAATATCAGTTCCGTGAATGCCCTTTCGTTGCCCATGTTGAACCTAAGAAGAGAACAATTTTCATTAGGTAGGAACGGCCATGATGACCAAATCTCATTTCATAAGTTTTGTTTTTAAACAATAAACTCCTCAGCTTATGTATGATATAAGTAAAATGATGGTCTTTTCAATATAAGCACTTTGTTGTAAACAATTTCGTACATTAAGAGTTTCCGTACCACAGCTAACAACTGTAACTAAGTGTTGAAAACTGTTTTTCCTGGATGACTATAGCTTTAATAAATCATTTCTGAAAAGAAAACGATACGTTGCGGGACTTTTATGAAAAATATTAAAGATGAAACAAACAAAATATAATCAACAACAGTGTGTTTGTTGTAACAACAACACCGCGTGGCTAGACTCGAACCTTGAACTTCAGACTACTAAACCATTGTTCTAACCTATGGAGCTACAGGAACCTGGTCGACGGAAGTGTCCTGGCCAAGTGTCCTACAGGTATATTCAACTGAAGTTGAAGGGAGGTTACTGTATAAAGAAAAATGCACAGTGCGGTGGGACAGGAATCCTTAAGTGAGTTACATTAGATAACAAACAAAAAACAGTTCGGTTTGTTTGTGTTTTACATCTAATTAACAGTTATGGTCATTTAAGGACGTGCCGGGTGTTTTGGTGGTGGAGAAGTACCTGGCAACTGCCCCACGTAGGCCTCAAACCCGCGACCCAGTGGTGGAGGGCTAGCGGTAGCAGATTGTTAGACGCCTTAGGCCCGACTCTGATAAACAAGGCACATGTCGAGGAAATGTAAACACAGCGAATTTACCCTACACAGCACATGTATACATGTATACACATTTGTAAACTGCATTACATTTACAATACATATAAAGCACTGAGAAGTGTATAAAACTCTTTTTTCTATGTATGTCACTTGTGTGAAAACCATGGTTACCACATCAAAAATTACCAAAAAATGCCAAAAAATGCTATTTTTAACCTAAAATTTGACCCCCGCAACTAGTAATTTTTTTCCTAAGCTCTGTCTGAAATTAAAGATTACCTACCTGGTTGCAGAATTATCTGGGACCCAGTAAAGTTGTAAAACTTGATTTTTTGCAATTTTGCGTCGTGTGCTGTTGTCAAAAGTTTACCTCCTGTGAAGCTAGCTTTTGATGTGTACGCACCCTTTCGTATCATGGCCAAAATTTTATTCTCGAACCAAAGAAATCTTCTTTCTTTTTTACAAATGTGAAGCTCACATAGCCCACTTCATCATGCTTATACCAATTTGAGTACAGTTTTATTTTTATATTTTTTTTACATATCATCACCTATGGCCACAACCCTCTACTGTATACTTCTACCTTATACATCACTTTCTTTTCCCCAAAATTTAATTAAAACCTTTTAAATGTCTGGAAAATGAGACAATGAACACAACGATGTATCCGTTTCCTTTCTCACTTTAATAGTGACCGAGTAATATGAATTCTCCTGACAGGTGTATTTACCAATTCTGCTATAAAACTACCAACAAAGGGAGGTAATATGAAAAATAAAAACTTGAATAGGTTGGTAGTTTTCATGAATAAAATTTCTTTTTGGGTGAAATATGATGCTTTGAGATTATGCGCATGTGAAAAACAAACAGTACAGTGATACTATGATGTTACTGTCTTGTTTGATGACGTCATAGTAACTGTGATGTCATCATAACTATGACGTCATCAATGGGCATCGATGACATCATGGAGGATCACTGATATAACATAATTGAACACTAGGAAACCCATCTCAACAACAAACTAGCAACAGACACACTTCCCGTAACCGATGAACAGCACAGAAATGTCAGATATTCTGAAAAATCAGACAAGTGCCACCATAGCAACCGTTATTTACTCTCCTCGCCTAGAATTGACAGTGACCCTCAGAAATTGTTCATTTAACATATTTCGCTAGAAAAAAAAAAGATTTTCTTCAGCTGTAATTATGGAAATAACATGTATTGACATTACTGACTTTGCTTATTTAATCTGTATGCTGAATCAAGTGGAAAAAATAATCTAAAATAGCGTAATTAGAATGAAAACAGATATTTTACCCATTTTCAATAAATACAACTTTATGTATTAGTAACCATGGCTACCGGGTGCTGAACTGAGTGAAACAGACTGAAATCTAGTATGAATGCATCAGGAGATAGCCTGTGAACTATTTGATGTTTGGTATCAACTTTACCAATGACACAATTGACACATATGTGATGAATTGCATAATTTCACAAGTGCCTGTGTAAGCGCGAGCTACCCCTCTTTATACATCCACAGGTAACAGGCTATCGACCTATATATTGACCTATCTATTTAACGGGGTTTTTGGCGTTTTTGAGTAGTTTTAAGTATTAATGAATGAAATAAGTAATAATAAACAAGGCACATGTCGAGGAAATGTAAACACAGCGAATTTACCCTACACAACACATGTATACATGTATACATATTTGTAAACTGCATTACATTTACAATACATATAAAGCACTGAGAAGTTTATAAAACTCTTTTTTCTGTGTATGTCACTTGTGTGAAAACCATGGTTACCACATCAAAAATGACCAAAAAATGCCAAAAAATGCTATTTTTAACCCAAAATTTGACCCCCGCAACTAGTAATTTTTTTCCTATGCTCTGTCTGAATTTAAAGATTACCTACCTGGTTGCAGAATTATCTGGGACCCAGTAAAGTTGTAAAACTTGATTTTTTGCAATTTTGCGTCGTGTGCTGTTGTCAACATTTTACCTCCTGTAAAGCTAGCTTTTGATGTGTACGCACCCTTTCGTATGATGGCCAAAATTTTATTCTCGAACCAAAGAAATCTTCTTTCTTTTTTACAAATGTGAAGCTCACCTAGTCTATGTGTATATGGTAGCAGAATATAGTAGAAATGGCCCGACTCTGATAAACAAGGCACATGTCGAGGAAATGTAAACACAGCGAATTTACCCTAAACAACACGTGTATACATGTGTACATGTATATATATTTGTAAACTGCATTACATTTACAATACATATAAAGCACTGAGAAGTGTATAAAACTCTTTTTTCTATGTATGTCACTTGTGTGAAAACCATGGTTACCACATCAAAAATTACCAAAAAATGCCAAAAAATGCTATTTTTAACCCAAAATTTGACCCCCGTAACTAGTAATTATTTTCCTAAGCTCTGTCTGAAATTAAAGATTACCTACCTGGTTGCAGAATTATCTGGGTCCCAGTAAAGTTGTAAAACTTGATTTTTTGCAATGAAGCTCACATAGCCCACTTCATCATGCTTATACCAATTTTAGTACAGTTTTATTTTTATATTTTTTTTACATATCATTATACAGGGGTTAGCCATTTAACAAAATTATCACCCATGGCCACAACCCTCTACTGTATACTGCTACCTTAACCACTTGGCCATTGAGGGTATGACACAAAAATCTCCTACCCGAGGGGTGATATTTTTTGGTTGTCTTACCCGAGGCTCTGCCCAGGGTTAGACAACCAAAAAAATCAACCCGAGGGTGGGAGATTTCTCTGTTACACCCTCAAGGTAGGGGATGATTATTTTTGTTTTCCCATCCTATTATTTCAGTCACATCTTCACCGACAGTAGTCTGCCATATTTGTAAACAAAATCACATGTGGGTCATGAATATCGTCATTCACTTTTGAAGACGTTACAATTACCAGTGACACATTTTAATGAAGTCACAATTGAACACGTGCTGATCGGCACGAGGCTATCTCTCAAGCTAATCCTTCCGGGCTAAAACGGGAGACACGTCTGTTAAGGGTGGAAGAAGAGGTTATACCCCCCTAGGGATTGGCAAGCTGATCTAACTCGGCTTAGTGGAAGACATACAAGTGAAGAATTGGATATTGTTTAGTTATGTAAATCATCCTTAAACAGTATGAGCAATATGTATGTGTAAGCTCCTTACACGAATATCGTTATATAACACAAAGAAAGAAAATGCTGTTTACCTTTTGAAATGATATAATCCTCTTACTGGATAGAACGATTCAGATAATAGATGATCAGTGTTTAATCTCCTCATTTGAACTGAATAGGTATTTGTTTTTCTCTGCTGAGATCTAGAGAAACATATGTTGTTTAAGGTTCGACAAACCCGATAAAATATGGTGTCATACCCTAAATATGAAACCCCTGATAAGGCATATTAAAAGACTCAAACAGCAAAATTCAAATTTGTTATTTCCATTTATAACTGCAATTTATCAATCTAGTCACCCTAAATATCAACTTCGTGATAAGTCATATTTATTTATCAAAATACAACATGTATCAATGTAATTATTTATAAATCAAGTCCAATAGATATCAAATCCGCGATGCATCAGCATTGAAACATGTTATTCATATCTATAAATGTAATGGATATCTCTATATATCTACATGTAGCACGTTGAAAAGTTTACTGGTATGCAGAATGTATTGTAATGATTAAAATTTTAAACACGTACATTGATTAGAAATGCTGAACTGACACTGTGGGATTATAAATAAAACAGCTGTTTACAATCGACCAAACATGTACATGTATATTGCTACATATTTGCTGCAGTATTCCTGGATTCGCTTTGTCAAATATTGATAATTTCGATATACCCTTAGGACTCCGGTTCGTGATGTGAGATGGTAACTTGCTTCAACACGATGACATGTCTCGACCTTTTAGTTAGAAAATACCAAATACGACATACCCTAGATATAATTAGTTTTAATCTATTTCCTAAATATAACACTTACTGACATTATCATTATATATTAGTAGTATTTATTGTTTTTGTCGAAATATCCCTTCGATCACGTTCGCCCAACTGGGGTAGGCAATCTGTTCTATTCCCAGGCCGCGACATACCAAAACCTTCGTAAATAGTAGATGTAATGTCCAACTTAATATTCAGCACTTTATAAATGTAGGTCATCGAAACAACTGGTTAAGCCATAACCAGTAAAATGTGACCGGTTCAAGTGCTTTACTGGGTACCTTCGGGCAGTGGGTTCTATTCCCAGGCCGCGACGTACCAAATCCTTTGTAAATAGTAGATGTTGTGTCCCTATAAATGTTCAGCACTTTACAAGTGTAGGTCATCGAAACAACTGGTTAAGCCATAACCAGTAAAATGTGACCGGGTCAAATGCTTTACTGGGTACCTTCGACAGGATTCATGTATTATTGGATGTATTTTAACGCTTGAGTGCGTTCTTAGATTAACTAAAAACAAACCATATACCTTCGATAGCATCATGAATATTCTAAAATAATATTTGTGTTGACCTGAAGAAATTGACCGTATTTCTTGTGAAACTACATCGAGGTAAATTTTATATTAAAATACACAAAAATCTAAAGACTAATTTTGTTATTAATACAAGCTTTCGAAAACGTATGTTTCCTTTGTCAAGCTATAAGAGTGCAAATGACCGTTGTCTCGACTCTGAACCGCTATGAACAACTCACTAAGTCAGGAAATAGGTAAACATGTACCCTGTCCCCCTGACTGAATGCAGTATCAGAGTGCAATTGTGCAAAATGTTTCTATATGATTTTTGACAGCTGACTTTACTTTATGCGGCCCACTGAGGCTTAGTTAGTTGTTGTCAGCGGTTTAGAGTCAGGACAGAGACAACAACTACATATGAGAATTCGTTTCAAAACATCTTTCACTTTGGAAATAAATTTCATCATGACTCAATCAGAAGGAATCAACTAAAGTGGTAATTTGATATCTTACATTTGTACCAAAAAAATGTATAATCATTTTGATACTTTCCATACACTAGTCATTGGCCCTCCAGTAATTTTAGTACTGTCAATGAGTCATAGATGAACGAAATGTCCATATACTGTAAAATTCTAATTATTTCAAAATTGTTTGGTTTTCTGTATGGACTTAACCATTTTTTATGCAGGTTATCCCTTACTCTGTATTTCTACAGTGATTAATTTTATCATAAGACTAAACTAAAAGCCAAGGGAGAAGTCCTTATGTCATTGACACACTGATTTGTTTATCACATATGAAAGATCCGTTTATGTCTGGACCTTGCATTTTGATTTATCAGAGAGGTGTGGGTATTTGCAGTCTGATTGTTTTACAAGTTTGCTATAGTTAACAATGAGTAAAACATGCTAGTCAATGTGTTTATATTTGTACATGTTTACACTGAGTGGTTCAAGTTAGTACTACCTGTGTTATAGACTCAGCAGATATTGATACGAACCTCATAAATGTCCCACTATAACAGAGCCTGGAGGGACGGCTCAATAAATAATGCCACTGTGTCCGTTACATGTGTGTAATATATTTTTAGCCAACGTTTTATAATAAATGGTTATGAAAACTGATGTCACATTAAATTACGCGAAATTTTCTCATTATATGTTCAGATAAATTTTGCATAAATGGCTTTGAAGGACTACTGAAGGTAATGCAAATATCTTGTATACATAACCGACAGTGGATAGCGACTAATATATTTTACGACTGTGTCATTGTATAAGCGATGCTATGACATGTAAATCTGCACGCATGCCCCGGGGAATAGACTATGGTGTTTTGTATGCAAATGATACATAAGTAGACGCTAAATACATCTCTAAAGAACAGCCGCTTACCCAGAGGCAAGTTTTAACACAAACGCAGCGTGCCTGTGGTTAAACTTAATTTATTGACACACTTAAACATCACTCACTTCATTGCATGTTATAAACCCTTTGTCCTATATAATACTTACCCAATGTTAATATCAACTGTATTATATTATTTCGTTATGTTCGCAAAAGGAATTACGAAAATGGCTATCTTTTATCAATATCTTGATTGTGTTTTTAAAAGATTCAGTATTCATTGTTTAATTATATTAATTATAAAAAGAAAACCTGTAAGTAAGAAAAGGAAAACAATATGTATATATAATACTTTTGTGGGTTACCTGCAGAAATGATTTATCATATTCTACCTCGTGACACATGGGCTTCTTATATTATACATAATATAAAATTGCTCTAGTAGTGCTGAGCGTTGCAGGTTAGAGTTCATACCTTCTTCAGTAGTAAGGCAGGCAGGTTTACTGGTAGACGTTATCTTGTCTCCGGCTCAATGGGTGATCTTGTCTCCGGCTCAGTGGGTGCAAGGTCTCCCCTATGACGGCGTGAGTTGACACTTTGCTTGATATACTAATGTTTTCATGTATACACATACATTCACCTGGCCAGGTAAAGCGGCCAATAGCGTAGAAGGTCAATGACATTAACCAGTAGCCTTGAGATCCGATTTGTAAATGTTAATTTGATAGTTATTTATGATGGAAATGTAGAAATTAAAATTAACTTTTGACAGAAATCCGTTTTAGATTATTGCACTGTTCATTTCAGTAACAATTATCTTAACATTTGATCTGTATATGTACTATAAACACTCCTCGTGCGTGATCTTATATAAATATAAAATCTGGGTGAGGATCCTGTTGCCCGACCTGTGGGCGCAAAAAGTACGCAATTTCCTTCAAACGGAAGCCCATTTCAACCAGATAGCGGACAGGATGATGAGGCTGGGACATCACAATATTTTAGTGTCACGTACGCTATGAAAGCTGCTTATATGAAAACTAATCACAATTTCATTTCTGTAATAATTACTGTTACCTAAGCTTGCAAATTCGACATATCGTAATAATGACTCAAATATCCAAGCAGAAGACAAGTAATCAAAGCAAAATAGCAAGAAGAGAACAGATTGAAAGGTATCAAAGACTTTAAACCAAATAAAGAGATAAATATATATATAGACCAAACAGGTTTGGTCGTGATCCACTCAAGTGTTCGATTCTTTCTCGTCTGAAGTTAATTGTTGTACATGTCAATGTCCAATGTACACTGCAAGATCCGTCAGTGGTCAATAATTCAGGATTGTCTTCAGAAACCCTGGATACTAACAAGAGGATACAGGTCATCGATGGCAAGGAACTGATGCTAGTCTTTCTTTTATATAGTATTTTAAATTCATGTTCTGAATCTAAACAGGTCGTGCTTAAAATGGAGATGTGAAAACCACCATCTACAGCAATTGGACTAGCTACTGTGATGCGAGCATGCCTTCGAAAACGATTCTTATCTTTTGTTGTTTTTAGGATTTTTTTTATTATGGATTGCAAAGAACTGATGGTAGTTCATCTTTTGAACGGTATTTCAGTTTTATGTTTGTAATATAAACAGACATTGCTTAATAAATGGTGATGAACAAATTGACATCGGCAACATTTGGACTAGTAACTGTGGTATGGTCATGGCTTCGAAGACATTTTTAACATTTGTGTTTGCTTTCAATTGTCATCACAGCTATTGTTACATTGTTAACATGTTTTACAATCTGCAATTACTATTTACCTTTATCTCTGATTTGTTCTATAATGTATACAATGACTAATTCACTTACAAATGTACATTACATTAGTCACCAATGTTTTCTTCTACTGTATGTTAACTACGTTGTTTAATTCTATTTGATACAGTACATTAACCAGTACACTTGTATTGCAATGTTAAATAATGTGTTCATATACTTTATAGTTACTTAAACACTTGAAACATTGTTTAATTCTGGTTGATACTATACAGTAACTTATACACTTATTACATTGTGCACTCCTGTTTTTTTGCTTTATTTTAACTAATACACTCGTATTACATTGTTTACCTTTGTCTTTTAATAAACAGTAACTAATACTCTTGTATTACATTATTTATCTCTGCTTTTGTTCTACTATACAATAACTTATGCATTGTTTATCCGTATGCTCAATTATATTGTAACTAATACTCTTGTATAACATTGTTTGCCTATGTTTTCTTCCAAGATAGTATCTAATACATTGTATTATATTATTTACTCCTGTTTTTTCTTCTTCTATACAGTAACTACAAATGTAATAAATTGTTTTCCCCTGTCTTCTACTATATAGAAAGGATTAGACTTGAATTTTATTGTTTACATCCGTTTTCGACTATAAAGTAACAATTCACTTGTATTTCATTGTCTACCACTGTTTTCTAATAGTTACTTTACTATGTAGAATACGGTACTTTGTATATTTATATTACATTTTTTACCTCTGTTTTCTTATAGTTACTTTATTATATAGAATACGGTAACTTGTACATCTATATTACTGTGTTTACCTCTGTTTTCTACTGTAAAGTAACAATTCACTTGTATTCCCTTGTTTACCTCTGTTTTCTTATAGTTACTTTATTATATACAATACGGCAATTTGTACATTTGTATTTCATTGATTAACTTGTTTCCTACTGTACAGTAACTAATACAAGTTTACACTACAGAAAATATCTACCTGTATTACAATGTTTACCTCAACGTGATAAGGTGTCTTTAAAGTTAAAATGATATGTGACAAAAAAAACACTAATGTATTGTATAAAGGCGAATATGAAAGGACAGCGGTTCCAGTGAATCGTCAGCGGAAATATAACATTGTAATTCTTTCCTGTTCTCCATAATGAGGAAGGATTTGTCATTTCATTAACTATTTCAACAGCCTGTAATTTTCCAACTGTGAAGAATGAAAATAAAACTTGGCTAAGTTGAAGTTACAGAAGAGGAATGAAGCAGAACGGGAAACAGTGCACACTACAATACAATTTATTATTTAAGTGTTACATGTTGTTACATAATAATGGAATCGTACTTGAATCTCATTACATTTTTACATATATTTACATCCGGTGTAACGTTAAAAATGGACCCTCGTTGAAAATGGAACCGAGGTCGTTTTTCGACGTTGAAAATGGAACCGGGAAGCCGTGGAAAAATGAACATTACTCATTTTTTTTGTATTTTCACATACGCGTAGAAAATGGACACTGTTGAAAAGTAAACCCTACGGACATTTGATATATCCAATTTCATTATATCTAATGAGGTCATGCGACCTATTTCTCAAAATCTGCACTAAAAATCATCACTGTTGTTTGAGCAAATTTTGTCACTTTTACCTAGGTTTGAAGATTTTACCTACATTAACAAAAATGGTCTTAGGTCAGAAATTAACATTCATTGTTTATGCAAACTTTCCATCGAGTTCAGGAATTAACATTAACTGTTTGGAATAAATAAGGTCACTGTGACATAGATTTCAAAATTTGACCTACATTATCATAGGGTTTGGAAATTAATATTTAACAGCTCTTTGGCAAAAAAAGGTCAGTGTGATCTCAAATTCAAAATAACACCTGCATTATAAAAAACATGTCATCGAGTTCAGAAATTAATATAACACTGTTGTTTACCAAATAAGGTAACTATGACCTAATATTGAAAATTGTTATCGGAATAAGAGAATGAATAAAAACTGTTTTTTGCCCGAATTAAGTCACTGCGAGCTAGTTTTTCAAATTTGAGCAACACTAAAACATTGTCACAATGTTCAGAAAGTAACATACAAATGCATATTTGTACCTGAAAAACGAATACAGTTAAAACGTTAGTGCATAATGTAACCTCTTCTTTTGTCAATTAATTCGTATAGATAAATATATTGATTTGTGCGCTTATCTATGGACGTAAATTTTCATAGACATTGAAAATAAAAGGCAATAAATGTATTTATGTTTTCATATATATCATTGGTCTCAACCATTGTTGAACATTTATAATCAGATGCTGATTTCACCTAAAGAGATCATATCATTGATGTCGTCGTTAATAACACAGACAGGATGTTTCGTGCTCTTAACAATACCGTAACAATGTGTACGAGTACCCTGTGCTTCGCCGAGGTGGAAGTATTTGTTGTTTATCGATCCCATTTCTTCGGACAGCGACAAATTTAGCGTTTCAGCAGACTGAATATGACTAAGAGACAAACACATTGGATATTTATCATATTTCCCATTATCTACAATTGTTTCCAACAATCTTGCTCGTTCAGGTATTGGGGATTCATTTTGAAAATCTTTTGCTTTGTTAGGAAGCACTTTCATTGATGAATACCTTTCCAATAATGCTGAATAGTTGTGTTTAGTTTTTCCATTATATGATTGTTCCTTATCCTGAGGAATGCATTTATATGTACAGGGCCTCTGCTGTCCTGTTATGTCCTGCTCCACTTGAACAATGTGCAAGTCTTCCCTGGCATTCCCTTGGTTACTATACCTTATACAGTCACCACGTCTTGAGGACTTTTGTATGTTTTTGTTATCGCAGGCCAATGAGGCAATAGTACAAACACTCGGAGAAAGATCTCTGTCAATTTCAGCCCATACCAGCGCGTTTGCGATGAAATTTCCATCTGAGATATCACAAAGTGAATCACAATTTTTAATTGAGTTCTCGTCAGGTTTTAACACGTTTTCTTCATATGTGGATAATCTACTCTCAGCCCAGTCCTTGGTGCTGTCAAAGCCAGAATCATAAGCTTTCTGATCATTCTCTTGAGGTTTCGTCAATGAGACATAATTTTCGTCACACGCGGAGGTAGACGCGTCTTGGCCTGAGAAAAATAAAATCGACAAGCAATCGTTAGGATCATTAGGATCTCTACTCTGATGTAGAATTGTAATATTCTATTACATTACCCACTAGTCATGAAATTGGTTGGATATTGCATCATGATCTAACAACATTAAGAATTAAAGGTTCAACAAGCCCCTTTACAGGTGGGTGTTTTATCCTAAATTTCAAGCCACTGATAAGTCGTATTAAACGACCCCACTTAAATATCGGATTCAGATATATGATTTGGTTATGTTTCCATTTGCTCTGCATTGCAACTATATAACCCTATCAAACAAAATAGAAAGATATCAGATCATGATTCTCACATAATTCCCAATGGTGAAGTGATATGAAGAACATGTTCGTGACTAAATGACGTCGTTTTGACCGACGTCACTATATTAAGTGTAGTTATGTTGTATAAAAGGTGAATATCCTCACGGTGGAATATATTATTAAATTGTAAAAAGGAGATTGGTGATTTTGTGTTTATTTCCACGAGCTATATATTTTTGCCTCGAACGGCCGCGTGTACCGTCTCATGAACTGGTCCCATTGACAGACAGCGCGAAATTTTACTTTGAAATGCGATAAAAGGTTGGTAATATAAGATCTTTTTTAATTAAAAACGGAAATATAAGTAATAAACTGCCTTCTTTGGAAAGTTATTGTCCTACTGAAAAATCAGTAAAAGTAGTAAACCGGCATAATGACGTGTCAATCTCTTTACAATCCAAGTAAATTATACAAATGACTGATTATCTAAAGTTCATATATATACCTATATATAGGTAATGCGGATTTCAACTTATCTTTTATTCATTGTATGTGTGTTTTAACAGTGTTTTATTCATTGAATGTGTGTTTTAACAGTTTTATTTTATTTTTTGTATGTGTGTTTTAACATTATTCTTTTATTTATTGTATGTGTGTTTTAACATTATTCTTTTATTTATTGTATGTCTATTTTAACAGCATTCTTTTATTCATTGTATGTGTGTTTTAACAGTATTCTTTTATTCATTGTATGTCTGTTTTAACAGTATTCTTTTATTCATTGTATGTCTATTTTAACAGCATTCTTTTATTCATTGTATGTGTTTTTTTAACAGTATTCTTTTATTCATTGTTTGTGTGTTTTAACAGTATTCTTTTATTCATTGTATGTCTGTTTTAACATTATTCTTTTATTCATTGTATGTCTGTTTTAACAGTATTCTTTAATACATTGTATGTGTGTTTTAACAGTATTCTTTTATTCATTGTATGTCTATTTTAAAGATATTCTTTTATTCATTGTATGTCTATTTTAACAGCATTCTTTTATTCATTGTATGTGTGTTTTAATATTATTCTTTTATTCATCGTTTGTCTGTTTTAACAGTATTCTTTTATTCATTGTATGTCGCTTTTAACAGTATTCTTTTATTCATTGTATGTCTATTTTAAAAGTATTCTTTTATTCATTGTATGGCTATTTTAACAGAATTCTTTTATTCATTTTATGTCTGTTTTAACAGTATTCTTTTATTAATGATATGTGTGTTTTAACAGTAGTATTTTAATCATTGTATGTGTGTTTTAACAGTATTCTTATACTTTTTTGAAATTAATGGGTTAGATGCACCTTCCCCTTTTTTCACCAATAGTTTAAACCATTCTGGATTTCCACCCTTTCGGCTCCTAGTATCACCGAAAAAGTCGAAACACTGTATGATGTAGTATTATTCATGTTTGGCTTCTTGTTTCTATCACCAAGTTTTAAAGGTATCTGTGTAACGTTCGTATTCCTTGATAATAACAAAATGTAAAAAAAATATAAAGAAGTAAAATACTGATCGTTCATTTCTTAATACTCACATTCAGTGTCTTCAGATGAATTTTTCCTGGTAACACGTAGGTGGTCCGGGATTAGGTCCGAGCAGGGTTTGAGGTCCTCACGCAGAATGATCGATCTCTGGACTGTAAGCATGAAATTTCAAATAAGATATATGGTTAAATGAGGGTGAAGCTTGTTTTTGTTTACTTATTACCGAAACAAGTCACAAGTTGAACGTGGAGAACATTGAGCTTAAAGTATATTTTTGTATTATATGTACAGAGTTATCGCCCTTCTACCGGTATGTATGATCATACGAGGTTTCTTATACAAACCGAGAAAGAAAAATGGTTAGCTTTTTTGTTTGAAATGGAAACTGGGACTTGTATGCTTATATTTCATTAAATTTAGCCAGAATGTAGATGTGACATTATGAAAAAAGAAAGCATAGATACGTGAAATAATGTTGATTTAAATTTTGAAACCATATTCGTAAATGATTGATAGGCTATCAAAATACCATTCACTATTTTGAACATTTTTATTATTGCATTTCAAACTTAAAAATAGATATATGGGTGACTTTGTTTATTTTCTTGATCCATCGTGGGATGCAAAAACATTGCCTCCAAGATAAATTTACTTACAATATAATTGAACATCATAAGGAAAAAAACACTAAACCATGTTGCTAACAACCGGGTCTTAAACTGTAGATTAGCTAGACTATCAAAGCTAGTATAGTTTCCGAATTCCAACATTCCGGATTTTGTGTTCTGACTTAGTCTGGATCAGATGTCTAGATTGAAATGGTTAGTCAAATAGAGAGGAACATTGCTATAATTATTTTTGTTTCACTTGCTACTTCAATAACCGCCAAAGTATCTGAAGGTCCGTTCTGCCTTTTACCTTGATAAAACCATCTACCTACGCCTCCCTAGACCCATCGCTAAATATTTATTTCGACAAAAAAAATCATAACTGACAGTACAATACAACTTCATCTTGCGTAACACAACAATTGGTGTAGGTGATGGTATAATGAGAATTTGCTTGAATACTGTCCCATTATACTTACTGCGTTGACGCCAGTATATCCCTGCCAGTAAAATACCCATTACTGTTCCCAATATAATTAGCGATACGATCATCAGTGATTCGGCTGGATCGCTGAGTGCAATGATTTTGGTGCTGTTGTCATCTAAGCTAGTGGGAGCCATGCCTTTCGTAGTGTATGTGTCTGAAAAAGTGGGCGCCACGGGTTGGCTTCCGTAATCGTCTGGAAACATAGGAGCTATGGGTTTCGTACTGTACTTGTTTGAAACAGTGGGCGCAATATGTGTAGTACTGCTGTCTGCTATGGTTACTGTGGATATGTTCTCCTGGGGAATATTAAGTGGCAGCTTTATTTTGGTAACTGTAGAGTTCTTCTTGACAGTGTTTGGACCTGGAATTAAACGAGAGTCGACAACAAGATGGGCATATTTTGTATATTCAAAAAGTATAGAAATCAGGCTGAATGGGCATAATTACATTTCAAATCAAATGTATTGTTACATATACAATTGTAGAAGAAATAAGTAATGTCCAAATGTCTTTATGTTGACGTCATCTGCATAAAATGGAAGACAGCATTAACTCTCCAAGGACTGTCACTGTTATTGTTTGAAGGGGTTGGTGTACAAACAAACATCTCGAAAGTTGTTTTGTAATATTCATATTTTGATGAAAGTATGGCCTATTTTGATGAAATGACTTCTATATATATATAGCGAGAGAGAGAGAAAAGAAAAACAAAGATATTTTTAGCAGCTCAGCAGCACTTACACCTTTTCGGAATTTCTCAGAAACTTTTCTTATCCACGTGTTTCCATCAAAAGTTCTTTTTGGATATATCTGTACACGTGCTGAAATATCTGCCTTTGTTTTTACCATGTACATCACTCGGCTATTTTAACACAAATGTACTGTGAAAACCAAATGATTTTTATACAAATAGAAGTAAAAATACCTTCAAATTCTGTTAATAATATATCTGCAATCCTAGGGTCTGAGGCCATGCGCTTGCCCCCGGATTTTGGGATGATAGCTCGAATCTATACAAAACAAAAACGAAGTGAAGTTAACTGTTAATTCTGTGTGTGCAGTTGAAATAAAAAAAAAATGCAAATAGGGAATTTTCTCTGGTTCATCATAGAGTTTGGTAGAAAGTCGACGTCTTTTTTATAAAATGCCTTACTAAGACTGTGTCCAAAGATAATTGGGACTAACTTATTGCCGTTATATAAAAGGATCTTCTGACAACGGGTTTGCCAAGGGAGATAGCCGAAGGGAGATAGCATAGGTAGAACGCCTAGGGAGATAACCAAAGGGGGAAAGTCGAAGGGAAATAGCCTAGGGAGATAGCCGAAAGAAGATAGGCTAGGTAGTGGCCAGATGGAGAGAGTACTTAAGAATTAACATTAGTAATACTTGAAAATTAACATTTTATTGATTGCTTTAAATATATATTTATCATCCAGAATGTGAGTTTAATTGAACATTTTATGAAAACTTTAATATTGGATTTTTCATTCTTATTATTTTTGTATACCAAAACTTTTCTTAGTATGAAGAGATGGTGTTATTTCAAATATGTATGCACAAATTCAGTCCAAAAATAGTGGTGGAAAGTATTCATTTGACATTTCGCACAACAAAGTTCCCTGCGTACTCAAAAAGATGAGGGCCTACATGTTAGACACTTCCCTGTCGTCCACTAAGAACCAATGCACCTGGTTACAGGTAATTGGTAATGACAATCGTTGCAAGCCTACAATAAATCTTTCAGTATATGTTAGGTCACAAAAACGTCCAAATTTAAATTTGCTTTATCGCTTGGCGTGATTGATAAAGCTTTTGTTACCAATCAATTTTGAGATCAACTGTAATATCCTTGTCACTTTTTAGAATTTGTTCTTAAACATTTTGTTATCATTTAAAAAAAAAATTATTATCAGACTTTCGTTTTGACATTGCATTAATGGGATATTTCATACTCATTTGTTAATATTCATCCCATAATGAAGAGTGAATGTATTGGTGAAGGTCGCCATCGTATCTCCGCGAAATCTCGTAAATATAAATAGTACACGAAATGTAAAAATATCCATAATATAAATAACTTTTGGATTCACTGACTAAAGGTAGCATAGATTGCTCAAATGAAGAAGTTAGTATTTGTACGAAATGCTACTTAAGGTATGTGCGCAAAAGAGAATCTGAAAAAGAACGTTTTGAAAATGAAACTACCAGAAGTTTTCCTCTTTTAGCAATTAAGGACCTGTTTCACGGGTCCTGTTCACAAAATAAAATTACTACTGACAATGCCAAGTTGGTCAAAGAACAATGGGAATGTGCGCTCATACATCAAGTATACTTTATTATCTTGGCTATCATAGCAATCTTCAAAATCCAAAACAGTTGCACCCAAGGGCTAAAAAGGTCTGACAAAGCTTGACATAAGTTGTTTTCTTGTGAATCTAGAATTACCAGTTTGAAAACAAACTCAAAGCCTCGCAGCATCAATTTTTTCTTCCTTTTTTTTTCCAAGTCTGTCATTCGAACACATTTCATACTCTTGCATCTTGTAAAACATTATCTGTACATGTCATCAGCTGTTAATTCTGCGTCTAACTTTAGTACATATATATATAAACAAAGTAACAAACAAACATACAATCTCTGAATTCTATTGATATTGCAAGAAAATTGTCTGGCAATCCGAAAACTGATTAGGCAGTAGAATGAATATTTTGGTAGCCATTTTGAAAAGGAATACGCCAACGAATCTTTTCCAGACAAGTTCTCTGGTGATTAAATATTCATTTTATCTAAACTGGAACAAACAATTTCTTCTTTTCTGTCAGTTTTCAGTCATAATGATTAGACTATACACATAATCATGAATTCTGATGTATAGTCCATATGGTCATTTGATCCCTTCTTTATAATTATTACATGTTAGATAATTTTATAAAATTGTATTAAATTGTATGTTTTGATTGCCGTGACATGCGGGATCAACGGAAGCATATACTGTTTGCTGTCCAGCAGGCCGTATCAGTATGTCGGGTGGTACAGCATGGACACAATATACAACGACGAATAGTTGGTACACGTCCCAGTGGGCAATCTGTATTGCAATGGGTGCAGCATATTTTGGTCGTTTTTATGTCTACAAGTGAGGGCACAAAAGCAAATCCCCAATTCTGCATGGTGGGTGGGGGGGGGGGGGGGGGAGCAGCATTAGTCGCTTCTTACGATACATGCGGTGGGTAATAGCAGTTGAATTCTTTTCTCGGTCCTCGATCTCGAGGGGTGGAAAAGCAAAAGACCATTATTTAAAGTAGCAAATTTTAAATAAGCAATTAACTTTTTAGCGATTTATAACAGTCAGTCATTTTATAGCAGGGTACTATAATAATAGCATTGGAATAAATCTGAGTGAACGACTAAATTCTCCCATTGTTCAATACATCATTCTTTGATTCAGAGTCAATCTGGAAAATGGTGCAGACGAAGGAAGTTCGTTCGCTGTCTACTACGAGGGGGAGTTGGTCGTGAACTTGTGGGGAGGCTGGATTGAGAAAGAGGCAGGCCTGAAATGGAGAGAAGACGCCATGCCCTGCTTTTACTCCTCTGCAAAGAGTCCAAGTGCTCTTGTCGTATCAAATCTTATTGACAGGTAGGCGATGTATAAGTAAAACAAATCATCTAGAAGCGTGACTATCATTATTATTTCGAATATAGCATCTCGTATGAAACAATGTGTGTGTCTCCTGGGGAATGTTTTTTTATCCTTTGAAGAAAAAGGCGCCATACTACACTGTTAGAGTCATTTTGCATCTTGCTCAAATGTTATTAATCACGAAAGATGAATTATTGGATAAGGAATTGCATTTGGCATTACCTCTTAAGCTTATGCATAGTTTGGTTTAGGTTTTGATTTGGTTTGATTGTGTTTTACGTCATATTTAACAGTTATGGCGATTCAAGGACGTGCCATGTATTGGTGGTGGAGGAAAGCCGGAGTTCCCGGAGAAACATCACCGACCTACGGCCAGTACCTGGCGGGCTGACCCATGTAGGTCTCGAACCCGCGACCCAGTGGTGGAGGGACTAGCGGTAGCAGAATGTCAGCCGCCTTAACCATTTGGCCACCGCGGCCCTGAATTATTCAAAGCAATGTTTAAATCGTATTTCGTATTTGCAGGAAGCTACTGAATTAGTGACAAAATAGCGACATACTGGCCAGAGTTCGCACAGAACGGCAAGGAAGACGTCACTCTTGAGACATATATGACAAACAGGGAAAGATATATTTAATATAATGAAATATTACCCTAGCTGGCATAAAAAAATGTTTTAGGAAATCCGTTACACTTCAAAAAACTGTAACTGAGCAAGACTATTAAAATATGTTATAAAATGCATTGTACAATGTAGCCGACATATTTTTCGAGGGTTAAAATGCAACTGTAATTGGCTAGAGTAGATACATATATTATGATTTAAATACATGTAGATGTAATCTTTGGAAGTTGCACTCCCTGTACTTAATGAGTTATTTACGTAACATTAAAGGCTGGTCTGAGTGAAATTCAGGAACCTGTCGCCATGAGATTACTTTTGGATGACCTAATAAAATAGGGGAAATTTTAGCAAAACAGAAACCGCTGTGGCTACTAGGTAGTTATCCATTGAATAATTCATTAATTAAGTGTTACTAAATTGTAACACAGTAACGACTGATCTGATAACGATATCGTTAATCCATGTGACATCTTTATGTGGATACACTGCGCATACTCTGTTAAACTCTATGTGTAAGTTATAATACATATGGTTTGAAAGTGGGGGAGTATTAGAATCAAATTACATGTATAGTTGATTGTGATATTTTTGAGGATAGGGAAACTCTCTTGAACAATAAACAAACACATATTTCTACTTCAACGATTATCCAAACAGAGGGAAACGCAAAATGTAAAGCTTCTAATTGCGACAACTCATCTCACAATACAAACTCAATTAAATTGATGGAAAACCAGGCACCGAGAAGACACGAAGACTAATATTTAAAATTGGTCAAATGTCTGGCATTTTAGTTTCATGAAGCGTCGAACAATACAATCCAAAGTAAGCGAAGTAAAGTGTCAGACATTTTTTCTTTCTTCATCTTGTTAGGCTAACAATCATTGCTAAAAGGAGGACTGTTAGAAAGGATGTTTTACAGGCAATTTATCGTTCTATAAAGTTTCATAATCAATATCAGCCAAAAGGTGTCACCTACAATATCAGGCAAAGGCTCCATAGTGACACACTAGACTGACACTATTTTACCTTTAGGTTAGCCATGTAAATATGGCGTCGTTTGTTAACAATCCCCTGGTTTTGACTTCGAAATACGGTTTTGTATAGAATTTGGTATCCTCTTATGTTTGGTTTTAAAAGAAATACATTTTGCAGAAGGTAGACAATAAACACATCAATATGTGTCTGCATATATAAGGAACCTATGACTAAACTATTAGTCATGTTGATATAAGTGCTAAACATTATGCATTACAGGAACAAATCATGGTTATCATCCCTCGACATTTGCTTTATATCTGGATCAAATTGTGCGGAGGGTTGATCCAGAGGGACGAAGTCTTTCTCAGTATTTCATAAATGAAATGGCTATTCTACAGAGTTATTCTACAGAGCTCCCCGTGTTGCAAACCTAGGAAATCCAGATATTGAAGAGCTGATGAAAAGCTATGTGGGAGATCCTACTAAGCCGGCCGATAGCGCCCAATTTGCGAAAAAAAATGCCGTCATAAAAATCCACTGAATAGAGCAATTGTTAATACTATATTAATTATCAATCAATTTCAACGTTAAAGGCCGTGCAAGCCATGTCTGATGTTCAACAGGAAGGAAAATAAAGGTAAACAAATCTTGTCTAATGAATGATCATGAAAACATATAAAAAAATAAATAAAAAAATTGCACCAGTAGTTGTCGTGATGTCGTAATTGTCTCAAAAACATCTTGATTTATTTCAGCCAATCAGAGACTGCAGCGTCCATGTTTGATGAAATGCTTATTGCACATAGATAAACGCTGTTGCATTCGAAATTTCAAAGAAATCATTGACATTGAAAAAGAGGATGACGGAAAAAAAGGTTATCTTTTCAAACTTTGCTTGGGGTAAAATATTGATTAAAATAAAGAATTTAATACTTGGAAAACCGGCCGGTCATAATTGTCTCTAAAATATTTTTAGGGAATAAGGGGGATAAATCGTTCATATTAAAAAGAAAAATCACCAAAAGTTGTCTCAAAGAATCATTCCATTGGTTGATATACATATAATATACAGAAAAAAAATCTAGCTGTTTTGTTGTGATATGTAGCAATTGAATATACTGTTAGCGAGAGGAGTTTTTGTCACTTATTTACGACGTGGCTATATCAGAATTACAATATAGCTGTAAGTGTTTAAACATAACATTGTGTCATAATTTTATAGCACTCGGTCGTCATAGTATACTAAAATATCAGCTATAGTAACACTTCCCGGTTCAGTATATATAAATGAACATCATCAAATTCACAATTCATTGTAGCAAAGGTTGACCTCGGAGAATAAAGCTGTTTATATATCCATAATACAAGGAAAGTACCATTATGTTTTTTAAGGTAATTACGAAACTCTAGCTAAAATAATCAAACTGATATTATAAAAAGAAAATGTAACTATTACTTGAAACAATCAAACTAATAATACAAAAAGAAACTAAAAGTTAAAGATGTACATTACATATATTCTGTAAATGGCAGGCTCCAAATTCTTGTAGCGGCACTTGGTGTGTGTATTCGTGTTAGTGACTTTTACCTGTAACACAATGTAAATGGTGATCAGGTATCATTTTACTGCTAGCAATAAACTCAACATTTCTGTAAAAGTTACCAAATTGAGAGGTTATATTGTCTTAGCGGTAAGGTACGTATACCCTGGAACAACACTGATGTCATTATCAGTATATTTTATTAGCCTATATAGACCCTCAGGTTTATGAACTGTTACGCTCCAAAACAGTAAGTTCTATCTAACATTTATACTAATGAATACAAATTTGATTTTGTATTATGACGTTTATCCTATCATATATAGGAAATTTTAGAGCAAATATTATTATCTTTTCTTATTAGTCTTTTTTCATTCGATTTATATTTTAATCTACCAGTTGTATAGATTGTGGTTTGTATACCTTTAAATTCTTATATTTATACGGCAATTACTTAATATGATTTGCATGAAATATAATATACTTCTTTTGTTCTATGTTAAACCTTAACTCAGTTGTTTTAGAACATTGAACAAAATCAATTTTTGAAAAGTGCCGTTGTCTAATAAAGTACATACGTCGTGTATCATGCATGGTACTGACAATTTTGTCAAATTACACAAAACAAAATTTGCATTGCTTACATCTTCTATCCTCTGTTTGTCCATCCATATTTTTATTTCAAACTGTTTCACTTGTCTCAAGTTGTAAGGTGGTTTGGAATACTTAAATCCGATTTCCATGCTGTTTGAAGCCAGATGGAAACAGAAGGCTGGCGTCCAGTTCGAGTCAGTCTGTACAGGTTCTTATTGAAAACATGGATAATTAAATATTTAAGATTTGTTCTATGTTATATTGAATGTGTTACAGAAGGGCGGAAAATTGCTTAATACATTAATATTAAGGTTAAAAATATATCAACAGGAGAACCCAGTTTCCATAGCCTGGATAGCATAACGAGATATAAGAACATTTTTAGAAAACAATTTCGTTGAGAAATACCAAATAAATAAATAACTTCTTTTGTCTTTTCTGTCTTTTGATAAAATTGTTATTTCTGTTAATAAACAGCTTTATTTTGGAATTACAATACTGTTTAGTATATATGTAAAGTTTTGCGTAAGGCTTGTGTTAAGTTGATAAGCATTCGAACTAGCGGCCCCTGGTCATGTATACAAGTCATAGAGCATAGTGTCGCTTTCTTGTCTTATATCACTGTTTACAAGAAGCAAACACAGTCCTAAACACAAGAATAGATTATATATCTTCTATCCAAAGGTGAAATTTCATCTAAACCAGGGAAATCAGAACCAAATTCTTCGACAGAGAATGAATTCAATGTATCGTGATTTTCATGAGCAGGTAGAAATGTATTATATTTTAAAACCAGGTTTATGGCTCAAAACGTGCAAAGTGAATTGATATAATTTTGCCAGGGCTGACTTACCTGTTTCACTGAAGTTACAAGGAACCTGCAATCAAAACATAGCAATATTTGAAAGATGGAATTTGTTTTACAAATATTGTTAAAGCATTATTATCATAACCTGTTGTTGTGCATTAACAATATCTGTATACACACGGCACAGTAAACTACATGTAAGCTGTCTGATTGCGTTTTTTTCTTACTCTTCAAACAACTTCCATCCCGATTAGTTTTAATGTTTTAAACTGCTTGCGGTGCATTTGGACTCTATGAAAGGAGTTTCATAATCAAATTTGCTTGACTTGCCAATAGTCAATAAAAAGAAATTACTTAGGTATCCTAACAAGTTGATTTACAATGTAGTTGTATTTGATCATTATTATTTTTGTTCCGCTGCTGGTATTAACGGCAATTCACGGGCCCGTATTCATGAAACCGTTCTCATGCATGGAGTTCGTACTCAAACCAACTTTCTTGTAACTCGCTTAAATCATGTCAAACGATCAAAAAATAAATTGTAAACAGTATTCGGCTTCACGTCTCTTCAAAATTTTCCAAATTATTCGCATACTAAGATTTGTTTGATAGTTTATAACCAGAACAAGAAATTAGGCTTCAGCACTAAGTCCATGCTTGAGCATGAATACGGTTTCATGAATACGGCCCCTGTACTCCTTTGATACTACATAAATAATTGCACTGCCTTGTATGTGTCATACTTATACATAAAGTGTATACTTCCTGACAAAAAGATATCTCCATATCTCTACACATGTTAAACATATAGTAGAGCCCAGGCATACAGATACAGTACCACTTTAGTGTCTAAAAGAGGCTGGATAGTGGTCCGGCTGAATTGATCCTAAAGCATGTTACTGTAATCTGGGTTATTTTCGCCACAAATTACAATCTAACTGTTTTTCTCACCCTCTGCAATAAGCCCAAACCTTCATGACAGCAAAAATAAATGCACATTTATGGTAATTACATGCGAATGGCGAAATTAACACTGGGTGAATTTAAATTTGACCGGTGAAGATCGAAAGTTTGACCTGGCGTGTGTTTCTCTTTGTACAATAGCGTGACTACCTGACCCGTAGTGGTGTCAGGGACAGCAGTCCATGTTTATTTATAACAGGAAAACAATCACAGTTCCGAACTGTTTTTAATATTTAATGATAACTTAAACAAAAGATAATAAGTACTGTTCTGGATGTATTTGGATAATTGCACGATCAGTTAATATATTTTTCGTGTTTTAGACGGGGTGTTATTAGTCTAGTGTTATTATTAGTCATTATGATATGTGTGGAAAATTGTTGCCTCTATGTGGTCCGCAATACAGTCATTAAATATATAAAATGCCATTGCTAATGCTGTAACAAGATATAACTCACATCAACAATCAACACCAAACCAATCGAGGTCCTGGTTGGGGAAAATCAAAATGTTTAAACAAAATCATTCAAAAATCTGATTTCGAGTACAAGGAACCTGCAACCAAAACATAGCAATATTTGAAAGGTGTAATTTGTTTTACAAATATTGTTAAAGCATTATCATCATAACCTGTTGTTGTGCATTAACAATAGTTGTATACACACGGCACAGTAAACTACATGTAAGCTGTCTGATTGCGGTTTTTTCTTACTCTTCAAACAACTTCCATTCCGATTAGTTTTAATGTTTTAAACTGCTTGCGGTGCATTTGGACTCTATGGAAGGAGTTTCCTTATCAAAGAGGTATGGCGGAAAACTGCCCGTATTTCCCTTAGTCGGCATTTATGAAAACGGGGGAAAAAAATAAGGAGTAAAACATTTCGGGTTGCAAAAATGCATACAAAAGATACAAAACCAATTGAATATGAATTTTTAAACTGCTGAGAAATTAGGTATTGCTAATATGATACTGCAAATATAGCCATATACACTATATCTATGAAAGTGATGGGGTTTCGCGGACTTAAAAAAATACTTTCAACACTTTCCTATCCGAGGACCAACTTTTGAATAAACTTTTTGTGACAGTGATGTAACTTGCAAAAACAAATCGTATTACGGAAAAGTGGTCCTCCTTTGGGAAAGTGCTCAAAATAATGAAAAACAGGGGTGATCAAGTTTCTCTAAACTGCGACCGGTGTTTCTCGGGTTAAATAAGTTTGTAATTGCCAATATCTATATGTTCTATGTAGCCGAATGTGTAACGCAGTTTATTTGCGACTAGAAAATAAACGGTGCAGGTTCGGTCCTCCTTAAGTTAAATATTTTTTTTAAATATTTAGGCATGTGTTCATTTTCCTAAATAAGGCAATAGTTTTTTTAAATCGATGGAAAATTTTGTTTTCATTTGAATAACATACCTATTGATTTATCAGTTTTGTTAGTAATCATTTCTTTACTATTTAGTGCGACATACTTCTATCGAAGCATGTCAACAAATCCCAGCTGTACACGTGTACAGAACAGCTACGCTTTGTACGTAAGACTGTTTTTGATGAAATTTATGAATTGTTTTACCCTCCAAGTGGCAACAGTAATTATATCAAGTGCTTAAACTCCAACAATTTATGCCGAAATACCAAATATGTGGTCTGTTTACAATAATCTATTCTTAGACACGGGATTCCGATATTGCTGCCAGTATAAAAATACCTGATGACGCGTCATAACAGTGCACGGTTGGATGCGGTACTGGTATTAACGGCAATTCGCGGGCCCGTATTCATGAAACAGTTCTCATGCATGGAGTTCGTACTCAAACCAACTTTCTTGTAACTCGCTTAAATCATGTCAAACGATCAAAAAATAAATTGTAAACAGTATTCGGCTTCACGTCTCTTCAAAATTTTCCAAATTATTCGCATACTAAGATTTGTTTTATAGTTTATAACCAGAACAAGAAATAAGGCTTCAGCACCAAGTCCATGCTTGAGCATGAGAACGGTTCCATGAATACGGCCCCTGTACTCCTCTGATACTACATAAATAATTGTACTGCCTTGTATGTGTCATACTTATATATAAAGTGTATACTTCCTGACAAAAAGCATATCTCCATATCTCTACACATGTTAAACATATAGTAGAGCCCAGGCATACAGATACAGTACCACTTTAGTGTCTAAAAGAGGCTGGATAGTGGTCCGGCTGAATTGATCCTTAAGCATGTTACTGTCATCTGGGTTATTTTCGCCACAAATTACAATGTAACTGCTTTTCTCACCCTCTGTAATAAGCCCAAACCTTCATGACAGCAAAAATAAATGCACATTTATGGTAATTACATGCGAATGGCGAAATTAACACTGGGTGAATTTAAATTTGACCGGTGAAGATCGAAAGTTTGACCTGGCGTGTGTTTCTCTTTGTACAATAGCGTGACTATCTGACCCGTACTGGTGTCAGGGACAGCAGTCCATGTTTATTTATAACAGGAAAACAATCACAGTCCCGGAACTGTTTTTAATGTTTAATGATAACTCAAACAAAAGATAATAATTACTGTTCTGGATGTATTTGGATAATTGCATGATCTGTTGATATATTTTTCGTGTTTTAGACGGGGTGTTATTAGTCTAGTGTTATTATTAGTCATTATAATATGTGTGGAAAATTGTTGCCTCTATGTGGTCCGCAATACAGTCATTAAATATATAAAATTCCATTTCTAATGCTGTAACAATATATAACTCACATCAACAATCAACACCAAACCAATCGAGGTCCTGGTTGGGGAAAATCAAAATGTTTAAACAAAATCATTCAAAGACAATATTGCCAATTTTTTTATTTTTTTAGAACAAGTTTCTTTGTTTGTCATCTTCAAAAAAAAAAAAAAATGACTTTTAAATAAAATGTTTGATATGCTGAAAAGTGATTTAATTTGATTATTGTGATACATGTTTACTTAGATATTTAGCGACTAATGCAAATATCAAATAAAGTGCTGTTCACTTAAATATTTCAGAGAGCCAAATCCGATAAGCTTGATGCTTTACAGAAAGATATAGTCTATGTTAGTGGCATCATAATATAGATGTTCTTTTCTGGATTAATCAATTCCTGTATAGACGTAAGAGGGGTTGAACCTGGAAAAATGACTAAATATCAGGTATCTTACTTAGTTGATAATTGGAGATCAGAAGCTGTAATTCAAAAAATATTTAGAAGGTTGTTACAACTACATTATTGTACATATTTTTTATTTGACAATATGCTTTATTTAACCCACATTTGAAAATAAAGTAATTAATGCCTAGTTCAACATCAAAATCAGATTTTGAAGCAGAATTTCGACGCAACAAGAGACTTCTCCTTTTTTCATCTGTACTTTGATTGTTTTAGCTAGTTTGGTATGTGCATCACATTGTCACGTACAAACACTAAAATCGAGAGTTTGATCAGTTTAAGGCACATAACCGTGCAGTGACGAAGGTCAAATGTAACAAAAGTATAACGGGTTTTATTTATATTGAGTAGTTATCATTTTAAAAAAATGTATTTTCGTTTACTTGCTATACATCTTTTAGTTTAAACTTTATTTTATTGATGTTAAATTACAATAGTACATGGTTATAAATACAGAAAAGGATCCAGAAACAAGTACATAGTACTTATGTAAATCCGTCTCCTTAATATTCATCTTTTAACTCATAAGTATAAGATGAAGTAAGAACAATACAGGGAACAGCCACTTGAAGGCTTTAGTAAATACTGCTGTAAAAATGAATCAATATCATTGTCTTGTGTGTGCAATGTAATTTATATCTAATCCTGCGATGTGTAACTTCATACTCTCATGATCTTTTTTTATTTTAACTAATAATAACAGCTAGGAAGGAACATAATGCCTCAAAATTCCTTGTAAATTGTAATGCGGTAACAGAGAGGAACGTGTCGCCTGAACATTACTTGTAAATTGTAACACGGAAACAGGGAGGAACGTATCGCCTAAACATTACTTGTAAATTGTAACGCGGTAAAAGAGAGGAACGTGACGCCTGAACATTACTTGTAAATTGTAATGCGGTAACAGAGAGGAAAGTA